TATCTGGATGATTTATACAAATTTTCCAAATGTTACCAAATAATCTAAGCTTCGTTCTTCACTGAGTTCACAAATTGCATTTTACTTGTCAAGAAGTGAAAAAAGAAAACCAGAAGGGGTCAGTATTTTAAATGTGATTGATTTTCTCCGCGGAAATGGTTGACATGATACATTACTGCAATAAGATACCTATATTTTTGTTATAAATCATACTTTACAGTTCATGCTTTCCCATCTAAAAATCATGTAAGCTTCTCTTACACAAACATCATGGCCACTTTCTAAAAAGACTACATGAATATCATTTTCAGTCTATTTACCAATACTATGTTTAATATATTTAAATTAAAGCAAGGCAAAGAAAAAATCTGATCATGTAGTATATATATGTATTCTATGTAAAAAAAAAAATGACTAGCCTCAGAGATTATTTTTGAAATAACAAAATTTGCTTTCAAATAGCTCTCCATTAACAGAATTAGTTCATGTTCAACTATACTTTTATCATTGTTCTGCATTACTGTCTCCTGAAAATGTTTTTGGGAATAGGATGTGAGAGTTTTATAAAGCTTATATCTTCATGTTTTACAAATTTAATAGAACATTCTAATTTTTCCATTTCTGTATAGATAATTCAAAGAGTACTCAACAAGTTTACAAGAAACTCATACTTTTCGGATCTTTCTCCTATATTATTCACTATTCCTTTCAATCAACTTTTCATGCAGTTTAGGCTGTTTTCATGTTTATATATTATTCTATACATACATTAATTTTTAAAGGACTATTATATATCTACTAACATTACTCTTTTTAATATCAAGAAATGTCTTAAATAAACATTGATTTCATTTTAAGTGTCACATTTATAAAAATATGTGCAAGATTAACATTTAGTTACTGAACATTATCATTTACAATGCTAAATTTTACAACACTACACAGGCTACCAATTTAATATAAATGTGAATGCTTTCTAGTACAATAAATTATATAGTCATGGAGGGCACAATGCATCTTTGAGCACTGTTTCTCTCAGCTGACAAATGCAGATACAAGTCAAGTCTTGCAAAAATATTACAATCCAAAAAATTTCTTTTATTTGCCTCTCAGCCCCTTTTCACTCCTTTTCTCCCTTCCAACTACCATCTTCTGTCTGTAATGGTCCCTGCTTCTTTGTTTTCTAAATGCTCTTTGTAAATGTAAATAAGGATCTGCAATCAATCCTTTGTATTTTGAATAAAATGCATATACAGTAAGGTTTTTAGTCTCTCTTACATTTGTATTTAATATCTTATTGTAGGGCCTGCCTGTGGTGCAGGGGTTAAAGACAGCCCTATCAAACTATTGCCAGCTACTGCAGTAGGAGTCTGACCCTAGCCCAGCTGGCCAGGGAGCTGAGGCACAGGGGACAGCGGACCTCTTCTCTCACCCAGCTGCTCCCCTCAACAGTGTATTTCAGTAGATCTGCCAGTCTGCTCACCACTCTGTCTCTGGTGAATCCTCTTACCCTCCACACCTTTGGCATACCCTCCACACACCCAGTTCCTGATGAATAAATTTTTAAAAATAAAAATAAAACATATCTTATTGTGGAATAAAAGGATTATCTTTCATTAAATGAAAGGCAATATGGCAAGCATTTGGTGAGGGTAATTTAGAAGACAAGTAAGAGAAACATCTTTGTATGTGATACTCATTAATAGAGCTACCTCTGATGAGAAAATTACTATAGTCGTTTTGGAGTCAGGGGCATGAGCTAAAAAAATGTGGTAACAAAAAGGTGGTGGCTGGAATTATAATTTTTTTCCTTTATCAAGGAATCAGGACCATTTTCTGTGCCTATTGCTTGAGTATCTCTCCACTTTATCATCATAATCACACAGCTAAGGCGCTGAAAATTTTAAGTTGCTTCAAGCAGCTCCAAAATCATTCACACAGACCAGGTAACAGAACAGGGAGAGCTGAACACATTTTTTTAAAACAGACAGGAGACGGCCAATATGAAGTCATTTTCCCATCACATGTGATAACATGAAAACTTCTACTCATCATGACTGAGTTGTCAGCTTGTATCCTGTCAATATGATACGCAGTGATGTGATTCCAAAGCCATTCCTTTTATAGGTCAAAGGTGATGGGAGAGCACAGTGGTCACTAAAGAAGAACCATCACTGTTAGGGCACAGAAAGTATCTCAGTGAGGTTAATTTTACGTAAGTGCATAATCTTGCTGATAATGATGTAAATGCGATGTGATATTAAGGGAAATTGGAGGGAAAAAAATTAAACCATGCTTTGGTTATACAAAACTAATACTAATCAAAACTGCTCTACATTTATGTCCAATACCATGAACCTACACTTATTTGTCAGATTAACTTTTCTATAAATTTAATTTGAAAAAGGAGTGCTCAGTCTTTTTGATTTACTGATTTTGAACAACTATCAACTCCTTCCTACATGTCAACCACCAAATATGTATTTATCTGTATGAATGAAAACAATAAGCCAATCTTTTTACCATGGGTCTACAGACTTACTGAAGAGAAAGACAAGTATCAGCCAAATGTCAAGTAGAGAAACTGGAAATTATATTTTTAAATGAAAGTTAGAACACAGGGGTATATGAAACCCAGTCCTAGGAAGTCAAGCTTAATAAGGTAACACCAGAACTGATTCCTGAAAAATGAGGAAAGTTAGCTATCCTCCCCGAAAGTAAACTCAGGGGAGGATGAGTTCTTTTCACTCTTAAAGTAAAAGGAACAGGAAATGTACTGGTCTCAGAAATGACAGTGTACCTGGAGGGTGTAAGGAACTGCTCAGTAAAACGAAATGTAAGAAACATCCTGAATGGAGATGATGAAGCTGGTGAAGGAAGAAGGAATTATATGTAAAGAGGACTTGAATGCATATACTAAGGAGTTTGAAATCTTCACAGTAATAGAAACAACTAAAGGATTTCCACAACAAGAAAGATGATCAGACCTACATTTCAAATCAGACTTGGCTTCATTCTGGTGTGAAAAGTAGCAGATCTCACACCCGGAGACATGAGGGAGAGTAGGAACCAGTTGCAATTATATAGGTGACAGATGTCAGTGGCTTAGGAAAGTTGTTAAGGTGGAGAGAATTGTAATAGAATTGAAATGTCTTAGTGAATGAATATAAGAGAAGGGGGGAGGTGTCCCTGATGGTGCAGAGGGTTAAAGCACAGCACTAAGAAGCTAAAGCCACCTCTGCATGAGTTCCATCCCTGTCCCGGATGTGACCCACATGGCGTGGCAGACCTCTCCTGACCTGCCCACTGCTCCCCCAGCAGTGTACTTCCTCAGTCGACCTGTTCTGCTCCCCACTCTGTCTCTGGTGAATCCTCTCATGGCACCCGCACCTCTAGCCTGTACCCGAGTTCTGTATGCATAAATAAATAAATAAATGGTGAGAAAGGGGAGTTAGAGAACGATTTCTAAGTTAGACAAACAAATTGTAGTATACCAATAATGAGAAAAGAGAGGAAAAGAAGCACATTGATAAGGTTTTTCTTTTGATTTTTTTTTTTTATCTTGCTGATTTGAAGGAAGACCAGAAAGTTAGAAATTATCAGTTCCCTCTTGAAAAGCTGAGCTTTATGTGTCTGAGCAGTTTTCAAATAAAGATATGTGAGAGTTAACTGAATCTATAGGTCTAAGATGAATGCTCTAAGCTTGACACATATTTAAGAGATAAGATCGTCTAGCAGCAGAAGTCATCGGAGAATAGGAACAGCATCAGCAGCCTGAGAAAACCCGAATCAATCATGATAATGAGTTGATATGTAATCTGGTGCAAAAACAAGACTATGCTTTAGTCGTGGCTGTGCTACTTAGGTAGGAGCATATGTTCTCTGGCTGTGTATCAATCAGAATTTGAAAGTAATATTTTATATATTTCAGGTAAATGCCATTTGGGATAATTAGTATCTTTACCTAAGGGGAGGATTACATAGTCTATTTGTAGAAATTCCTCCCCAGTACAGTATTCCTATATCATAAAAATGTACTCACAAGTATTTAAAAAAAAAAATTAAACAGCAGCTCCCCTGCCCTCCTGTGACTATGCCAGTGTTTTCCTTCACCAACCTTCTCCCTCCAAAAAGCAGCAGAGATAGGTCTTTTCCCAATGCTGTTTGCCTGAGATCACACAGACCTCTTAACAAAACTGTCCCTCTCACAGGCAGCTCTTTCTGCTCTCTTGTGTGTATGCAAGCGTCCGTTACTTCCATTCCCTTTTTATAATAAACCCGCCCCTTCGGAGAAAAGAAAAATAGAAGAAAAAGCACATTGTGAGAAATGTAAAAACTGCCACACATTCTCATTCCATAGGTAAGAAATAATAAACGAGGAGGCACCACTCATTTATCAATACATTTTAAATCATTTTAAATATTGCACAGAATTTTTGTTCAGCAATAAAAAACATCAGGAATTACTTTGGAGTAGGGTTTAAGTAGAAATCTCCTTTGAAACCAGGATAGGCTACTGCAATACTGCTGTTCTAAAGGAAACCAAATCTCTCTTGGTGGTCATGCCCTTCTGGAAAATTCTTAGGGAGGAGGCAAGTGCTAACAATAAGTTAGCAGGCTAAGTCATCTAGAACAATGCACCTACTAACAAAAAATTTACCCTGACCCTAAGCCAATTTTACAGAGGAGTTGCTCAGATTCTGGTAAAAGAAAGAACAGGTGGCAAACCTTAAACTAGGGATGGTTCCAGAAGGCAAACAACTTTGGGCCATACAAAAAAAATCAGTTGTGCCCTTTAACATCCAATGCACAGGACGGAGGAAAAGAGAATGGTATAGCATGAGATGTGGAAGAAAAGAGGTCGGGAATTTCCTGGATCCAGCTGCTGAAGGAATGCAAAGGAAATCTTCCATCTGGGGGGGGTCTCTGTGTCATTTTTCTCACGTTTGATTAAATGAACATAAAAAGACATAATAAACTTTTGTATACATGGTCCTCACCTTAAGAGCTCTCTCTGTAAAACAGGCAAATTCCTTCTTTGCTCAATCCTCCAGGCTGCCCTCTGAGGATCAGAAGAAAATAACCAACTTCGGTCATTTGAACACGGAGCATCAACTAACACCTGAGGAAAAGAAAGGACCCATAATGCAAATATAAACTTTATATTCTACGACTCAAAGTATCTGAGGAAAAATACAAAACATGACAAAACAGCAAATAATGAAAACATTTCTTTAAAAACTAAACACACTATGAGTTTCTTCTTTATGATGTTTCCTCACTAATACATTTCAGAAAAATCCCTGAACACTTTCAGTGTTTGGAGAGGGAGTGAGAGGAACAAAAGCCTACTAATGTCCACTCATAGTTCATATTCCTGGCCAACTACAGCAAAAACTTTTACAAATTACTCATTTCAAACAGACATTAATATATTTCTGTATTCTGAGCATTTATTTTAAAGAACTCATTATTTCAATTTCAGTTTCTACAGTTGCTCTTTTTCTCCAACTGTCATACTCTGATAGGAAATGTTACCAAATTAAAGCAGTATAGTGCACGTTTCTGTGCCAAACTATGTAATTTCTGATCGTTTCCTAGTATCTTTAAGGTACCTGGAAATAAAAAACATTCCAATTCCCAATCCCAGTGCTTGCTCTGAAGCATGCTGATCAAACAAAAACTGCTTCCATGTTCACTTTAAGTTTCCTAGGATACTGAGAATTCTATCAGGCTATGACTGGAAGCGGCCGGGAAACAACAGCAACGCAACACAACAGTGGCATGATGGTGAGCCCGCTAGCTTGTCCCAATGCAATAGAGGTACCTTGTCAAAAGTCTCAGGCTGGGCATTTCCCAGTTCTCTGCCATCCAGTTCAGACACTTGAATTGCATTTACCAAAGGATGTGGGATGAAAGATTCTAATGTCTGTTGCAGCCACTGGAACCGCAGGCTATCATATTCATTACAATGAAAGTAACCTAAGTACAAAGGATTTAAAAGTGTTTAAATTGTGTGGTTGAATTATTAATGAGTTTTAATTCTGACCAAATAAATTTTAAAGAAAAGCCAATTCATCAGAATCATGCAGAATGGGGCTCAGAGGTAAACATTATAATTTTCTTTGCTTTAAAAAGCGAACATACTCAGACACACATCATGTGAAACATTTACAGTGGTCATACCTATACAGCCTCTCAGAAGTGCTCATCATTTACTCAAATTTAATTTTGGAGGCTATAAAAAGAATTATTGATTACTAAGGATACTAATTCTCTATATACATTTCCCTCCCTAAAGTTCATTAAGAATAAAACATAAATTCTGCTACATATTTACAACCCTGAGAATAGACTATCATTCTAAATGAAGGAAGTGATGTGAATACAGAAAAATCATGGCTCTATATTAAAAAAGACATATATTAAAAAAGGTTGAAATTATGAGCTCTAAGACTTAGCTGTTCCTTATCTGGAAAGTGGGTATTGTGCCTATTGGTGAATACACCACCTGGCAATATGCTGCTTTGGCAAATTGACTATTTAGTGGTAAAGGCACCCAAATAACCACAGGTGCAGAAAGGGCACTTCTTTCTGAAAGCAGAAGATGCACGCCCAAATGACAGATGCCCTACCTATATTAGGAAAAAAGAGGTGTCACCAGAGAAGGGAAGTAGGCTGAGAGAGATATTCACAAATGGACTGTGTTAAAAGTGCCTCTTCTGGGCCCTCCCGGTGGCACAGCGGGTTAAAGCACAGCACTAAGACGCAAAAGTCACTTTAGCATGAGTTCGATCCCTGTCCCGGAGGTGACCCACCATAGCACAGCAGACTTCTCCTGGCCCTCCCGCCACTCCCCTCAGCAGTGTACTCCGTCAGTCAGCCTGTTCTGCTCCCTACTCTGTCTCTGTGAATCCTCTCACTGCTCCTGCACCTCTGGCCTGTACCCCAGTTCTGTATGCAAAAATAAATAAATCTATAAAAAAATGTGTCTCTTCCTTTCATTTCTATGTTCTAGTTTTCTTTTGTTTTCACTTTAATTACCACTCTTTGTTCAACACAAAGAGCTTGGTGACTTTTCTGGGTTGTCATTTTCCTGTGTTGATGTTCATGTATATATATGAGTAACATATTTTAAAATACACTTTGTATGTTTCACTCCTGTTAATCTATCTTATGTCAGTTTTAGCTGGAAACCCTAAGAGGATAAGAGAGAAATTTTACCTACCCTATACTAGGTACCTTACAAAATGGTCATTAAGATTAAACATTGTATCTTCATGAAGATACCAACATTCAAACTTTTCAGATTAAGCAAATGCTCTCAAGTCAAAAGCCAGTGTCAAAGCTCAATTTACCTTTGTCTCTTAGATTTCTGATACTGAGTACTTGGAGAGTGTTGATACATTTTGAAAACTCTAGATTTCATTAATACTATATCCTACTTTTCTTTTATAGGAGAATTGACAGGTCACCTAATTTGTCATAGTATAGGAAATACAAGTTTTCATTATTGAATATCCCCCAAAGCTTTACATATATCACCCAATGCTTGCACACAGTATATGCTCACTGAATGTGACCGACTTATTACAAAGCATGTTTCTAACTAAGAATACTTAAAATTCTATACTTGAAAATCAAGTTACCTTTTCATTAAATGATAACTTTAGTCATGCTTATCAACTAAGCATTTTAAAATCTCCCAGTTAAGATATAGCTCTATGTCATATTACTATTTGACCGAGACATAGATTTTATTTGAAATAGTCTTAGATTGGTTAAACTATAAAAATAGGCTATATATGTACATATGAAGTCCTATATTACACTGAGATAAAATTAACTTTAGGTTTAAATTGTGACTGCTTACATAAAATACAGCAAGCCTGTATAAGTTTTAAACATAATTCTTAAACACATAGTATGTTTTCTCCTAAATAATTAGCTGACATATTTGTACTAATGCTTAGTAGAACTCAATTGACAGTTCTCCTAAATAATTAGCTGACATATTTGTACTAATGCTTAGTAGAACTCAATTGACAGTTCAGAAGCTGGTACAAGGAAAGGACTAAAACTGGTAGCTTTATTCATTAACTTATTCATTTATTTATTTTTCCTACCTTGGGGGAGGGCGGAAAAAGTTGCCTGTTTTCAGTTCTGCTAATTACTGTTAGAGCTCAAGCCATGATTATGATTGCTCTATATGTCCCTCTCACTGTAATAATTGGAAAATGGTAATTGTTCATATACGCAAGTGCTGTGAATGCTTATGGTTATGGTAAGGTTCCTTGAGTTATCGAGAAGCAAGTTACAAGTTCACATGCACAAAAAGAGGGACTGTGTGGCTGACAATACATTAAAAGAAACTTGAGAACATTCTACTTTAATGTTTGGTTTAGCACCTGCAATGCAATGTACTGGGCACACAGGTACATGGTATAGACTAAAAATAAGTGAGTCTGTCCCAGTATTCAAGAAGCTAACCAAACCCAACAGGCAGCAACTATACAACACTGGGAGGACCTAGAAGAAAATCAAGAAAACAGCAATAAAATCCTGAGTTCAGATCCCAGCTCTACACCAACCTGGGGCAACTTACATTTCTCAGTCCCATTCTGAAGATGGGAATAACACCCAGCTAATAATGCTGCAGGTTGAATGAGGTCATGCACACTAGTGATAGTCACGTTGTTTCTCAGAGCCCTAAAACTTCAGAAAGATGATTACATGGAGATATAAAGTAAGAGTTCAGAAGAGAAGACTACTAAAAAAATATTTGAGGTCCTCCCCAGAGGCCCAATGGGTTAAATCACAGCACCATGAGCCTGTCCACAGGCACTGCAGCACAAGTTTGATCCTTGGCCAGGGAGGTGACCCAGATGGCCTGCTGCTCTCCTCAGCCAATTATTTCGGTCAGCCTGCCTCTTCTGTTCCCCATTCTGTCTCTGGTGGGTCCTCTCACCCCCAGCACTTCTGGCCTGTATCTCAGTTCTTGTATGCATAAATAAATACATCTCTAAAAAAAAACAAAAAAACCCCACAGATTTATGCAATATGATCAAAACAGCCCTTGGCACAACTAAGTGTTCCAAAATAGCAATTACTGTAATTATTACTGCACAGAAGATGCACTTAAAGCAGGGATTTCAGGGAGTCTTTCCAAAAAAGATGATTCCTAAGCCGAAACCTAAAGGATGAAAAGGAGTTAACAGCAGAAAAGGTAGGTAAGTGGTACCTGTCAGGTGTGCAAAGATTTGGAGGAATGAGAGAACAAGTATAGTGCAGTGAGGAAAACTGCATTTGTGATCTAATTCAACAGGAAAATTCTCAAGAGAAGATATTAATAAGCTCTCTTCCAAATGTATTATGCCTAACTTGAGGACACACAACCACCTTCTAAGTGATAGTCAGGTTTAGACACTTTCAAAAGGAGTCATTTTCAGATCAGCAACTCCTTGTGTTATATGCTAGACACTGTCCTTAGATTTTATATGTAGTAACACATATAACACTCACAAGCCTATGCCTTTTTCTCAAAAGGCAAGAGAAACACAAAATAAAGCAAATGGGAGTACATCTAACTAAAAAGCTTCTGTAAGGCAAAAGAAACCATCAGCAAAACAAAAGACCTCCAAGTGATGGGGAGAAAATATTTGTATACTATACATCTGACAAAAGGCTGATATCCAAGCTCTATGAAGAACTATACAAAACACAAATAACCCAATCATAAAATGAGCCCTACAGGTTTTCTTCAAAGAAGATATACAAATGGCCAACAGGCACATGAAAAAATGCTGACCATCACTTATCAGCAAAACCACAATAAAGTGTCATCTACAGCATATCAAACAAGAGAAGTGCAGGCCTCGGTGTAGAGAGAAAGGAATCCCGGCACACTGTGGGTGGAATGTAAGCTGGTCCAGCCTCTCTGGAAAACAGTATGGAGGTTTCTCAAAATTACTATTTTGAGGTTTTGCTAAAACAGATCTATGTGTGATTCAGCAATTCCAATTCTAGATATCCACCTGAAGAATGCCAAAAAAAATTATTTAAAGGGATATATATTTTATGTTCATTGCAGTCCTATTTATAACAGTCAGTTAAATCAACCTAACCCCAGATGAATGTCAGCAATAAAAAAAAATGTACTTCTGAAAGTTCAACAACATGGATGGAACTGGAGGGGATTATGCAAAGCAAAGTCAGTCAGAAGGGCAGAGACAAATGCCAGATGGTTTCAGTTACATGTGGAAATATAGAGGAATAAAACAAAGGATCAGACACAACCAAACCAATAGTAAACCCTAGAAATCTCACTGGAACTGAGGCTGTAATAGGAGAGGAAAAACACAGTGGGGTGAGGGCACAAAGGATGATGGCAGAGGACTGTGGGTAGCTAGGTGGTGGGTGTGGGGTGGGGACAGGAATCTGAGGATGTGTGATCCTGTGTCTCTGAACTGCATACAATGCTTTAAGCTTGTTACCTGATAATAATGTTAATATTAAGTAGTTATGGTTCTATTTCCTAGAAATAAATCATTCTTAAAATACAGTACCAAAAGACTAAAGAGGAATAAAGGAGTTTTTATAATCTTCACTAGCAGCAAACTAGATGGCAAAAAGGTAGACAGCAAAGAGAATTTCAGGCCTGGAGGGATTTAGAGCTCAGCAAGAAAAGTGATTAAGCCACTCCAATAGGCCTGGTCATTCTTAGTATGTTAATGCTTATCTATTAACAATCAAATTTGCTTGCTTTTTCCCTATCAACAGAGAGGATGTGCTGACAAAACAACACATCTATCTCTGCTATCAGATGGGAGAAGCTGGACAGACCAAGAAGTAGACTCATTTTTAGTAATCCTAAAATATAAACTATTACATCATTAAAGCTATGGGCCCTTAACCCAGAACAAAGGCCACTACTAATCTAAAGAAATTTGGTGTACAAACATGCACTCTGGGCAGGCCTCATTTCAAGTTTTGCTTCTAAAAGCTTTGATTAGCATTGCTTCTGCATTCAAATTCAAGCACTGTTGCTAACCTCATTTGGGCTTTGAGCAGCAGCAGGAAGACATCTGTACTTCTTAGTAAACCATTATCATTAGTCCTACTTAGAGAAAAGCTATTTTACTTGGAATACTGCCTGTAGTTCATTGCCCTTGATGTGAGAACAGGAAGATTTCTCCCCACTTCAAACTCCTAGAATATATCAGTTTGTTTTTGGACTCAATCAAATCACCTTCCCTACCTCACATGTAAATTATTTATAGCCTGCTAAATAATGAGGCTAATTTAGGATTAAAACGTGCTCTCTTCAAAATGGTACCCAAGTTTGATATTTCTCTTCCATCTTTTACACTACTAAAAATTCTATATTCAAAATTGAGGTGACAGTCAAAATATACATATTGTCACCACAGAAAAAATGCAAGTAAAAACAAAAACTTCTTGTACACAATTCCATAAAATTTCACCTCAAGTTATAAAAATAACCTTATAAAATAATTTCTTTTGTTGTGATTGCTTACATAAAAAAACAGCAAGCTTGTGTAAGTTTTAAACACAACTCTTAAACACACAGAATGTTTTTTCTGAAACAGAAAATTAACTGATATATTTGTACTAATGCTTAGTAGAAATCAATTCACAGTTCTCATAAAAAATTTTGTGATCTGGCCCTCCCTGGTGGCGCAGCTTCTGCTTAAGCCACTTCTGCATGAGTTCGACCCCCACCTGCCCCGGAGGTGACCACATGGCGGCAGACCTCTCCTGACCCGCTAGCTGCTCCCCTCAGCAGTGTACTTCGTCCATCTGCCTGTTCTGCTCCCCACTCTGTATCTGGTGAAGCCTCTCGCCGCCCCTGAGCCTCTGGCCTGTACCCCAGTTCTGTATGCACAAATAAATAAATCTAAAAAAAAAAAAAAAAAATTATGATCTACTTCAACAGAAAAACTCTCAAAAGAAGCTATAAGTTAGCTCATCTTCCAAATGGGTTATACCTAACTTGGAGCTACACAAGCACCTTCTAAGGGTAGTGGGATTTAGACAGTTTCAAAAGGATTCATTTTCAGATCAGCACCTCCTTAGAGGAAGAGACCATGGCATCTCCTTTCACAGTGTCCCTTCCCACCCACCCACCCAGAATCCAATTACAAGGAGCCATGCCTCCAAAGCTCCTCCAAGGGCAGTTCCTCATGTCAGTGCCCAGAATGAACCTAACAACTAGACAATACAGCATTTTGTAATTGAGATGGTTTCCAATCCTTTACTTCAACAAGATGCAAAAAATGGACCTAACAAGAGCTCACCTAATAAGCTTAATGTAAAGTTTGATAACAGGTAACTATGCAATCTGGGGTTACAACTCAGATGTTTAAATAACTAGAGAACTACTGCAGCATTACAGCCACCAACCATCTCCACCACCTTATCTATGTGAGCCACATCATTTGCATTTGTAAAAACAAACCTCTAAGAAACAAAATCCAGACAGAACTGACTGTACCCTGTCTCATCTAGCCAAACTATTTATCCAGGAAAACCTGAAATAATTTTTTTAAAAAGTCCCATTTTCTTACTCAGAAAATAATTTTTGATGAAAGTTGTCTCAATATTTTCAACAGATACTTATAAAAAAGCTTATTATGCAAAAAACCCTTATTACATACATTGCATCATTTTTGCACTATTAGTAAGTTACTTCAAAAAACCATTGTAAAAGCTTTTAGAGAGCAGCATGAGCCAATCCTATACCCACTAGACACATGTGACTGAATGCATAAAATGTGGCTGGTACAAATGCAAATGTTCTCTAAGTGTAAAATGCATACTGATTTGGAAGAATTTAGAAGATGAAAATATAAAATACCTCATTAATAATTTTTACATAGATTACTTATTGAAATAACATTTTGTATATATCAAGTTATAATACATTACCAAAATTAATTTCAGCTGTTTCTACTATTTTTGTCTTTTTTTAAAGATTTATTTATTTATGCATACAGAACTGGGGTACAGGCCAGAGGTGCAGGGGCAGTGTGAGTACACTGCTGAGGGGAGCAGCAGGCAGGTCAGGAGAGGTCTGCCACACTATGTGGGTCACCTCCGGGTTGGGGATCGAACTCGTGCTGAAGTGGCTTTAGCTTCTTAGTGCTGTGCTTTAACCCACTGAGCCACCAGGGAGGGCTTGTTTCTACTTTTTAAAGAACCTACTCAAAAAACTTAATATTATATGTGTACTTTGCATTATATTTTTGTTTGAGAGGGCGGCCTTAATTCCTCACAATCTAATGATACCAAAAGTAAATAAACAAACAAATAATTCCTTTTGTCAATGGCTTACCAGAATTCATATTACCGGCAAATTTGTGTTCATAAAATGCAGGTTTGTTTCTAATTCACTCTGAGATAAAGTACCTGGAAAAAAGATGTTATTTACACTGATTTCCTCAGTTAAAATTTCCATTCTTCTCCATACTGTCCTGTCTCAGACGTTCAAAATCTGAAACTCATTCTTACATTTCTGCTCAGATACCTCAGAAGTATTTTGTAACATCCAGCTAGTTAAAGCTTGTACTGAAGGAAAAGCACAATACCTGGATAAGCACACTGCAGCAGAGCTATGGATTTGCCTCCAGGAGCAGCGCACATATCCAGAACTTTCTCTCCATCCCTTAACTCCAGAGCCAGTACCGGAAGAAGAGAGGCAGCATTCAGCAGATAGTATCTTTTTAAATTTCCAACTTGGTGTCTTTCTGAAGACATTCGTCTAGGAGTTCTGGTAAGGTAGCATTTTACAGACTTAGGACAGTAGGGAAAAGATTCTTGAAATAGTGGGTGATAGCCCTTTAAGTGTAAATCCTTTTCCAGTTCAAAAGAATAATTGAATCGGTTAAGAAGGACAGCATATTGCCAGCATGATGGAGATGTCAGTATATCCCTAGACACAGAAAATGAAAAGCAATATTAGTATCATATACACCAATGTAATTTCAAGCTACTCATCTGTCCTACGAATGTGATCCTACTTTTATACTTAATTTACCTGTGGCTTTCAGGGCAAGGTCAGTAGTATTACATTCTCCTTGTGCTTCAGGCTCCAATAAAGCTCAACGCAGGATGTTATGATCCTGTCTTTCTTTTAAAAACTTTGATATTTTATTATTCTACATTAACTTGGGTCATTGAAATACTATTTATCTTTTTTTTTTTTTAGGATTTATGCATATAGAACTGGGGTACAGGCCAGAGGTGCAGAGGGGTGAGAGGCTTCACCAGAGACAGAGTGGGGAGCACAACAGGCAGATGAACGAAGTACACTGCTGAGGAGAGCAGCAGGCGAGAGGAGAGGTCAGCTATGCCACATGGATCACCTCTGGGGCTAAGGATCGAACTCGCACTGAAGCCACTGCGGCTAGCTTGTAGCGCTGCATCCTAACCTGTTGCGCCACCAGGGAGGGCCTGTAACACTATTTATCTTAATCGTCAAGTCTTAGGGTCCCCTTAAATGTTGCATAAAAAGGAAATATCTCACATGCCTCAGCCAACTAGCTCCCTGAAGGATATCTTGCCATAAAAACATGGCCTGCCTTTACCTCAAATCTGCCAAAATAGACTAGTCTATCACTCTTTGTACACGAGTGTTTTTCTTAGGCAAAATTTAAAACCAGAGACTAATATTGGAGGGGAAAGTACTATCATCAAAATGTATTTAAGAGTGAGTGCTATAGTTTTCCTCTTATGAAATTAAAACTATGGAAGGCTAACTACAGTGAACTCTACACTAACGGAGTTAATTAGGCGATCAGTGGCTCAAATGATACAAAACCCAGAATGGTTTAAAACCACTTATGGATTGATGGAGCAGGCCTTCCCCTGCTAGCAGATTTGCCTTCCTAATTTTTTATTTGGTTTAACAGTTGCATTTCTTGACAATCAGAAACTCACATCAACTGACAGATGATACAGCAGGAAATATTTAATTTATTTACTAACTGACCTTTCTAGCTGAGTTATTTGGAAGCCTCATTAACCATGGTCAATTAAATAAATTCCAGCTGCTGCTCACCCTGGAGTTGGCTGTGTGAGGAATGGTTGGATTGAAATGTTAACACCTGTGACTGGAAGTGTGCCATGTGAATTTCAATTGGGGGCTAATATGTGAAAATGCTTTCTCCTTTCAGTGGCTTTACTGTGATGCTGGATCAGATGAGCTGTTATATCTGTTTCAGCCATTCCGATAGATAGATCCTTTAATAGTCTTGCAGAAGACTGCTGGGTCCTACCCCTTGACTTTCTGATTCAGTATGTCTGATGTGAACCTAGCAACCTTCATTTCTAGCAAGTTCTTGGTGATACTATGTTACTGATCCCCAGAACCACACTTTGAGAAACACTGCTTTAATAATGGACTCCATAAAAATCAACTCAAAATCGGTGAATACTTGGATGTAGGACCTGAGACCATAAAATACATAAAAGAAAACATAGGCAAAACACTCCATGACATAAACCTAAAAAAAAAAAAAAAAAAACACTTCGTAGGTTCATCCCCAGCAGCAAAGAGAACAAAGGCAAACACAAGCAAGTAGACCTACATCATCAAATTTAAAAAGCTTCTGTAAAGTTAGAGAGACAGTAACCACAGCAGAGACCTCCTATGAAATGGGAGAAAATATGTGCACATCTGACAAGGAACAGATATGAAAGATCTACAAAGAGAAAGAGCTAATACAATTCAGTGACCCCCCATCTCAATTTAAAAATGGGCAGAAGAACTAAATAGGCACTTCTCCAAAGAAGGCAAACATATATGTACTTTATATATGTACTTTTGTTGACGAGAACTGCCTTATATGTCACAATCTAATGATACCTAAAAAAAATAAAAAGCAAATAAGTGTTCAATATCACTTGCCATTATGGAAATGCAAATCAAAACCACAATGAGATATCACCTCACAGTTGTGAGGATGGCCCATATATATATATAAAACACACACACAACCAAAATAAAGAACAATAAATGTTAATGAGAGTGTGGGAAGTAAAGGAACTCTATTACACTTCTGCTGAGAATCCAGATGGTCAGTCCCGTGGAAAGCAGTGTGGAAGTCCCTCAAAGGACTAAAAATGCATATACCACACGATGCAGCAGTTCCACGGCTGGGTATCTACCCAATGTGCACAAAAACACTAATTCAAAATGAAAGCTGCACTCCTATGTTTACGGCACAACTAACTAGCCAGGATGTAGGAATAACCTAAAGGATCAAGATGTGGTATATACACACGATGGACTACTATTCAGCAATCAAAAAAGATAATCTCATGACATTTGCAGCAACATGGATGGAGATAGAGTGACCTTTCTTTTTTCATCCAATGAAGACTGAATGATGCTCCTAGTCACCTCTGGGGTGGGGGTGGGGGGTGATCTAGGCTTTATCGCCATTCTACCTACCACTCAATCTACTTTCTCTCCATTACCCTAATATTAATAGTAAGAAAAACAACCTATTTGATGTTTACTATGTACATGTTTACATGCCTATCTCATTTAACTACAATAAACGTGAGGCAGGTGTTACCCCCACTTTACAAGTTAGGTAACTGAGGCTCACAGAAGTTGGCAATTAACCCAAGGCCACCTCCCTGATCAGCAGAAGTAACTGATTCAAAATCCAGCCAGGATTTTGCTAATTCTGCAGAAGTAGTGGTACTCAAGCGAGAGGGCCGCAGTATTCTCAGCTGCCACTAGTAGATCTGGCCTCCCTGAAACGGTTATTGTCTCTGACAAAGGCTCTGACAATGGGGTCTGCTTGCCACACTTTGCCTACATGAGCAATTACACTGGTACCAATTCAATGAAGGGATGACTGAGGTGGTTCAGGCTGCCTGCCAATCCTGAGAAACCAGGCTGTCTACCTATGTGGGTCTCAGCAATCCCTGCACCTGCCTGCCAGTGGCCTCACCCCACCAATACACACAACCCCCAGGCTGCTGCCTTGGGGGTGGAAGGCCAGTAGTTCCTCAAGTCTGAATCTCGATGGGTGGGCAAGTAGTCCGGAGATGGCAGAGGCAGTGCACAATGAACTCAAAAAGGCATTAGCAGACGCCTAACTCCAGCCACCTCACAAGATGCATGAGGAGTCTAAAGCTGCTCCATTTACTGGTCTCTAAGGCCAGAAGTTCAATATACCAGCAGCCAACAGAACTAGAGCCCATAAAATCAGTCACCTGTAAATGTTTTATTAGTACATCTACTGGTACCAATTTGAAAAAAATCTATGTACCCACTGGCACATTTTAAGTTGACATCAAAATCTTAATCAAATGGATAAGGGTGTAATTTCCAACATACTTTAAAAATTGACATTTTAAAGTATAAACCAGCCGTTTTTAAAATGTAGCCAATGGAACTTAAAAATCAGTGATTTTCCTACCCATCACTGTCCATTTAAAAATTCATGGGCTGACTCCTATTTAATAGGTAGAAATTTTACAGTTCCTTTCCCTTTTATTTATATTCTATTTCCCCATATAACTTTATTCTTACATATTTTTGTGCTTGAAATCCTTCTTTTATTACCTTATCATACTTCTCTGCCACATGCACATATTAAATTTGTTTTCCCTGTAGTCCTACAACCCTGTGTAATAAAACAGCAAATTCTGGATTGATTTATTAAAAATCAATCAAAGTAACATAAATTTGATAATTATTAAATATTAAGAGGTAAAGCAGATATGCATCTCAATGGAATGAGTACTTTTTATATATCCATAAATGAATGTATTCCTTGAAAAATTGCAAATTCTTTATAGTTAGTATATTTTCATACAACTTTTCTGTGATTTTATTTTCGCCTATTCTTCTATTCTCTTTTATATCTTCCTATATAATAATGAATACAGGTTGGGACGCAGCACTGCAAGCTGACAGCAGCTGCTTCAGTGCGAGTTTGATCCCCAGCCCGGAGGTGATCCATGTGGCATGGCAGACCTCTCCTGACCCGCCTGCTGCTCCCCTCGGCAGTGAACCTGGTTCATCTGCCTGTTCTGCTCCCCACTCTGTCTCTGGTGAAGCCTCTTACTGTTCCTGCACCTCTCGCTTGTACCCCAGTTCTGTATGAATAAATAAATCTTTAAAAAAAAGAAAATAATGCTGGTAAGAAAATGCATGTAAAAAAATACTTTATCTACTAATTGCTGAGCATCACTGGTATAAATTATAAAGCCAATTTAAATGTTAATGGTGAAAAACCCACAGCTCTCTTTTGATTGTCATGACTATCCACTAGAGGGCAAACATTCAACCATTCTAAAGTCTGGTTTATAATAAGAATAAAGCAATTCAAGGAGCTGCATCAAAGTATAGTTTCTAGACATTTTAATCTTATTCTTCAGAAATTCTAATGATGACCCAATCTTTTATTCTTGGCATTTTTTTTTTCTCCCTTGTCGCTTACAAAGGACAATCTATGTCTATTAGCAGCTAAATTACCTCAGATAGGAAGTTTGTGTTTCTGGTGGAAATAAAGGCTCTGAGAGGAAGTGTGTGCAGACACTTCCAACGTTGGACACCACACCCTCACAGCAGCACACATGGTAGAGAAAAAGATTCATCTAGATTTTTCTAACCTCTGATTAAAGGAGGCTGTAATTTACTACTGAACATAGATTTGCTCAGATTAAAGTTAAAAATATGTATAAGCAACATAAGGACAAAAGAAACATTTATATACAAGTTCATTTCTATTTTTTTGAACAATTCCACTCCACCCTCTTTGCAGATTTTGCAGTTGTCTCTTCTAATATGTGAACTAAGTGAACTCTGGGTTAATGGGGGCAGTGTTTATATAGAGAGAGATTTACAGAAAAGCCATATTGAGATGGGATCACTTGTTGCTATTACTTCTACAAAGTACACAAAACTTTCTATAGAGAAAAATAATTTTCAAGTAATTCTGCCCTCATATAGAAGGTGGGTTATATAAAAATCCATCTTTGAAAACCCAGTGTTTAGCACAAGGTCTGGTATATAAACACTCAGTAAATTGTCAATAAGTGGATGACTTGTCCAAAGCATGCAGCTGTACCCCAGTAGATGTCTGGACTAAGATCCCCTTTCCCTGCAAAGCATGGCAATACTCTGCCAACCAGAGAGGCCTTAGTGTCTAGGTTTTATTGGGACTTAGTCACACAGACATGGTTGAAAGCTCATTTGAATCATCCTCACTACTGTCTATCTAAAGGTCAGAGGTCAAACTAATACTCAGTCCACAGGCCCCCACAATAAATCTCATTGTTCAACTTTTTTTTTAAGATTTATTTAATTATATATACAAGAGCTAGGGTATAGGCCAGAGGTGGTGGGGGGGTGGAGAGTGAAAGGATTCACCACGTACAGAGTGGGGAGCAGAACAGGCAGATCTACTGAAATACACTGCTGAGGGGAGCGGTGGGAGAGACAGAAGAGGTCTGCTGTGCCATGTGGGTCAGCTCCCTGGACAGACTGTGGATGCTTCACAGTGCTGAGACTCAACTCTGCCAGCAGGGAGGCCGGAATATTTGACTTTCTGTATGGCCTATCTTCATGGCAAGTGAAGTTACCAGCAAACACTTAAAAGTATGGAGCTAAAGCTTAGGAAAGATAGCACAGCTTGAGATGATAGCATTCTGAGGTCAGTTTCATGTCATGTCAAATGAACTCAACTGCAGGGCAAGATGTAAGCAAAAAGAAGAGCAAACACCAAAGCAGGAGAAATGTCAACTTTAAAGAGCAAAGAGGGTGACTCAGCAAGAAAGACTAGTATTTGCTATTAAAATAAATACTAAATTTTCCCCATTATAAAGAAAAATAAAAATACTAAGTGAACTACTTTCTAGGTAGTACACAAAAGCACTTGCCTTTCCCTGGAAGTAAACAGATTACACTAGTACAGCAGTATGTCTTACAGGTAAACAATTAAAAAACAAAAACAGAAACACCATTTCTGTCCTGATTTCCCCTTCCCACCTTTCAGACTCTGACATCTATCCTGAGAAAGCTTTCATTTTGCCGATGGCAAATTTAGTACGTTTATGCAAAACTTAAATTACCATGAAAACTCCACAAAAAGGTAGATGAAGCAGAAGGCACAGCTAATTAAATGGATCTGAGGTTCACTGCTCACTTTGTTTAGGGTCAAATAATAATTTATAAATCTGTCTGAGTACATTAAATAGAAAAATAACTCATTACAGGGCATAAGTAGTCAGATTACCATAAAATGTAAAGACAATATACCTCTTGAAATCTTTTTTTTTTTTAAGTCATCCAAGTGTGCCTAATTTCATGCTAGGCAAGAGAGACATATAGTCTAGGGATTAGCAATAGGAATTTTGAGTCAGAGCACCTGGGCATAAATCCCAGCACTGCCACTTAGTAGCTGAGTAAAACTGGGTTAGTTATCCTCTATGCAGTATTCTCAGGTGAAAAATGAGAAACTTCAAAGGTTTGTTCTGAGAATCACATGAAAGTAAGTAATGCCTGGCACATAATAAACATGCAGGTGGTGTCTGGCCATTTGGACATTCTATTTCAGTGCCTTGCAAACCTCATGAATTTATTATACACTTCACCATTCATTCTTCTCTGTGGTAGAAGACATCCATTTTTAAATCTGTGGTTTGAAAATAAAAACCACAACTCTAAACAACATTTTCATATGACAGCATCTACAAGTTTCTAAACACTTTAATTTGCCCTTAAATTATTTCACAACCACCTCTTTATCGCCCAAGATTTAATGTTTTAAAAAATTTTATTGTGAAGGAGAAGTTCTTGTATTCATCCCAAAAGAGGTAAGAACTGCCTGCCTATGTTCCAGATACTGTTAGCCATGTACTATTTCCCCCCTTATGAAAATGTCCCCAACTTCAAGAGTAGCCACAGATAATAGGGAGGAAATGTGATCACCAAATGACTAAAATGAAGCAAGGTAAGGATGCGTTGCATTATCTTCTGAAGTATAGAAACTAGTGAAAAAGATCCTCAAAAGTGTTAAATCTTTTTTAAAAGATAGGCATTGTTAATTCCTGAAAAAAGCAAATGCTCAAGGCAGATGCATAACAATTTTTGCTAACAATCACGACAGTGTTTTTTTCCTTTTCCATCTTGCCCTGACTCAATCTAGTTCCTCTTACATCTTACCTTCTATAATCTTAGTAGAAAAGGACAACCAGGTTTAGATGCTATTACCTTTTATCCTTACAACACTCCTCTCCCAACAGGGTTATTTCTTATGTTCTATCATAAAGCATCACACAAGATGAATTATACTAACCTCACTGTATTCCAGGCATCTCCAAGTTCTCTGGAATATTGCTTTTCAAAGTGATCCAACACAACTTTGCATATCTGTTTTGCGAGCTTCCTCTCTGATTTTGCTTTCAGCTACGATGATAAGAAAAAACTGCTGATACACACCTACTCATTGGCCCTGAACATTAACAGTGGTAAAATAATAACTTTTAGATAAGTAGTTCTTGGGCGGGGGAGCAGTACCTCACTTGTAAAAAGATTATAATTTATTGTATTAGAATACTCTCTTATGGGAAAAAAGAGGGTTTCTGCAAGACATAGGTCAAATGTGAGCAAAAGTTAAAGCAGAATCTATTGGTGATAACACAGGCAACTGTCAGAAGAACAAAATAATTTAAATAAATTACTTCATATGTTAACATTAGGGACAACTGGGCAAACAGCATATGGGAAAGATTTGTGTAAATCAAAGACTGTTGCAAAAAAAAGAAAAGAAAAGAAAAAATTACTCGGGAAAGTCACTAGCTTTTTTTCTGGAAATGTCCTTGCAATTCGATTTCACACTCATTCAAGAAGAGCTGAACGAGGACTTATGTACCAGACACCGAATCTCCCAGGGTGTATAAGCTAGCTTTTGCTCAAAACTGAAAGGAGTTGGCACCAAGTCTGCGGGTTGGATCGCGGGGACACGCTGACTGGGGCGGTGGAGAGTCACCCAAAGCAGCACCAACAAGACCGCTTAAGAGCAAGCGTCAGAGCACTCAGCTTTACGCCAGGGCTGGGGTCAATGAAGCCGAAGTACCCGGAGCTCGCCAGCTTCCCTTCCCAGCCCCCTCTCCTGGCCACCTCGGTCCCATAAATAAAAGCCTCGTTCCATTCAGAGGTGGCCAGTCGGCTCCCTGGTTTCCTGCCCTCACCCTGGTCAACATCATGTCTTTCCGAGACGCAGAGTATCGAAAACCTCCGCAATCTAAAAATCTGCACGACTTCCGGATCACGCCGGAATTCGTAGTGCCCCCACGTTCTTCCGGTTCATCTTGTCGCGAGACACAGCTCTTGGCCGGGGTTATCGAGCTCTCGCGGAAAGCCTAGTCCCGCGAGAGGCACGCGCAAATTCGTCGCCCTAGTGTCTGGTGGAGGAGGAGTTGACGTCCAAGAGCTTGGCCGGGGCTCGTAGGCGGAGCCTTGGGCGGCAGAAGCTAGAAAGCCACGCCTCCCACTAAAATTACTGTGTGTGTTAAGAATGAAAACTTAACACCTTTGGGTTTTGGTGTGTGCTCATTGTTTTAGATTGCTCACAAAGGCCAAGCTAGCTACTGAACTAACCTATCAAATATGATCGTCCCTGTTAGCTCAGAAATATAGAACTCAAGATAAAACAGATGAATGTGAATAAAGAAATGGCCAGGCATTTCCTACTTATGCCAAACTGGGATATGTAAGTAAGTCGATTGCTTAGCAAAGATTCAGAAACAGTAAATACCCAAATGTTACTTGCTGTTGTCAATTATTTACACCAGCATGATCATCATATTCTGATCATTATTTCTCAAGACTAAACTGTTCACAATCGCTTCTCACCACTCTTCACTGGGGTAGTGTTACTGCTACTCTGAAAGGTATCATTTCTGCTAGAAATAGCAGTTTACTTACTTTTTTTGGTGTCATTCTTCATATTTGTAACTACTGTCAGCAATTTTTTCAGAGAAACTCAATGCTTTATAGGGGAGTATTTAATGATGTCCTTATAAAGAAGAAAGGTGTACACAGAGGGGAAAAAAAACGACAAAGAATCGAAGGAAGTTCTGACTTTTTCAGTGTTCTGTTTTTGTTTACAAAGCGAATGTTTTTATTTTGAAAATTTATATCATAATTTAATGTAAGTTTTCAAATATTGAAATATCTGAAACTTACTCTTTGTATCAGCTGGGATTTATTTTTTGATAAATAGTATTAGCATATTTCAACTATAAAGTATACTTAGCAAAAAAGTTTGGGTATCAAAAAAATCACGGATAATGAAGTATATAACTTGTGGCTTTATTTGTACAGTTTCACTTTTTATAAGCTTTTGTACCTGGAAGCAATGGACTAATTTAGAGAGGCATGTGAGTAAGTGAATAACCTAAGGTAAATATTGTAGCAAAAGAACTATAAGCTTATTATTGCTTAAATAAGCAATCAGCAAATATAATGGCATAATTCATATTTGAATATGTTTTGGCTATTCACAGATGGTTTTACAGATTGAGTTCTAGTCTTCATTTGACACAGGAGCATTTAATTTAAACTTGCAGGAAAATGGCACTTCAATGATATTTACAAAACTATAAATTTGTTTTCTTATTATAAAATAGCCCAAGTTACAAAGTCTAAAATTTTGAGGAATATGCACATTAAATAACCCTTAAAAATTCACTATTCCCAGTTGCAACCTTTCTAATGCTGCTTTCTTGCATAGTTTTAGGCTTGAAATCAATTGTAAGCAGTAATTGTATACATGTCATATATATTTGTGTTTTATACATCAAGACAATTATTTTCTAAAAGAATAAAAACTATCTTTCGGTCAGTAGGTCTAACTTAAATGAAAGCAAGTCTTCTAGAATAGTAAAATGAAAGGATATAATACTGGTATGATTTCCAAATGACAACATTCTTTCTCACAATAAAAAGTGGAGAGAAATATGTTTATAATAACAAAAAATGCATGAGAATACTACATTAGACTATTAGTAACTTAAAATGTCTGTCAATAGCTATAACTTAAAAATCCTATCCTATTACCCAAAAGAAATAATTTAAACTCATCAAATCTAATGAAGAGAACAAAATATTGATTTAAATTATTTTTATTGTATGAAAATGGCATAATTCATGATGATTAATAAAAAATGTTATCATATAACAAAATAGGCATTTAGTTGTTAAAAGTTACTTAGATTTATAAAACAGCTTTTAAAGCATTTTAGAATGCCTTAGAAAAACAAATTAAAATTTGGAGAGATATATAAAACATTTATTACATTTACCATATATTTAATTTCAAAATTATTTTTATTAAATGAATTCATTAATTATTGTACACTATAATAATCATGAGAGGAGACAAAAGTTTTTATAAAATTTTGTATTTAGTCTCAAGTTAGATGAAAATTAAAAACATAGTAAAAGTACTTTTTAAAAAATAAACAAGTGTAGATGTTATAAAATGAACCAAAACAAAGAAACTCTCTTCTCTAAAATCAATGCTAAGTCTAAATCCTGTCTTCCTGTTTTGCTTTTCCTAATATTTCAGTATCCTATCATATTTAAGTTGTTAGGGATTTTATACCTGAAGTAGATATAAAGCTTTTTTATTGAGTGCACCACGCAGGTCCCATGAATAAAACTCTTAAGAAATTATGTATATATATATGATGCTGACTAGAGTAGTACGTCGCCTGATTAATGAAAATTTAAGGTATTTAAACGTGAACAAAATGTGATGTTCTGACACATTATAAATAATCATACAAATTTGCCTTAGAAATAATTACATATTAATATCAGATACCAGTCTACTGTTAGTTTAAGTTATCAACCTGGCCAATTTTAACAAGGTAAAATTGATGAAAGAATTATGCTCTTTAGTCTTGATATTGATGTATATTTTCAATTAAATATAATATTATGAATCTATTATTTAAAATATGCATCTAAAAGTTTATCTAAATGCCAAAAAGAAAATTCTATAGATACTACTCTTAAGTGCAAGAAAAGTGCCATTATTTTAAATTGAAAAATTACTCTGGAATTATTACTTATAAAAGTAATTTAAGCTAGCATTTTTATTCTTATTGCTTTAGTGTTTTTAGGTTGTAAAGAACAAGTCTCTGGACCTACAGCAGCTTTTCAATTTTCCCTTTAATTTCAAGGCATGAAAAAATTAGAATAACCTAAGAGTCACTAGCTTCTGATAAAACACGGTAGTTAGAAGGAGCACATCTTGATCTCTGAAAGTGTATATCTTAACATAGGTGTTTACTGGGACTTATAATATTCTCACATAATAGTTCTAATTTTAAAAAATTTAGGTCAAAAGTATTTCATACTTCCTTCATTTATTTAGATTATCAGCAAAGAAACAGCCAAATAACTGAACACTCTTCTTGGGTAGTGTTTCCAAACATAATTTGTAGAATAAAGATGTGATAATCTATTTTTTAAAAGGTGTTACTTTGAAAGCAGGTCAAATTGGGATGTACACTTCAAACTATTATGAAACATAGCTCAAGACATATTAATATGTCTTGTGTATACAGTTCATGTTTGTCAAGTAAATCAACTCCATTTTTCTAACACAGTGTAAATAAAGCATTATAGAAAAGTGCAGTCAATACCAAAGTAATTAAATTCTTAAAACTAAATTTTTAGAAAAATATAAAAAGTTAAAAATTTAAGTTATAAATTCCCAAGAGTTCTCCTCCATACACATGTGTCTTACAAAACATGTTTAAGATACAGAAATAGACTATTAAACAAAAAGTAAAGAATGTGCGGAGTCCATTGGCTCTTTTTCTGAAGATGTCTTCCTTCAAGTCTATACCCATGTGCACAGATGAAAAAACCAGAATCAACACAAAATCTTCCTTACTTGATTCAAATGCTTATTTCATCTGCTGGCATTTTATTTCTTTTTCTTCTTCTTTTTTTTTTATAAGTCACAAAAAATGTAAGTAAGGAATTATTAGATCAATCAGTTCTTTGGCTAGTAATCTCTGCATGGAAATCATTTGCCCAGCAAAATCCATTTTCCTGTTATCAAAGTTCAGTTTTTCTTTGAGAAAGAAGGTCCTCCACTTCATCCTGTGTTATGAGATCACATCATGGGCATCACTGTTAGGTCTGTGTCGCATGGCCAGAGGCGGCAGTGGCTTCCCATAGAAATCTTTGTGAAGAAGGGAAACCAAAAACACCATAGTTATGGCAGATCAAGAATTTTTTTTACAGAATTCATTTTCTAATCAATACTTTTAAGGTACTGATTTGGCAGTTGAATTTGATAGGTAGAGAGACCCTTATCTAGCATCTCTTTTTTCTACTTCCCGTAAATGAAAGCCAAAGAAATATGTAGAAAACCATACGCATATGTAATTGTCACCTATAAGCATGTTAGATGGAGATAATACAAACTAAAAACTAGTATTTTTATTAAAACTTTTGTTATACCTACTTTCCTTTTCATTAGTGAAAGAGATTTGACCATACTTTTTTATAAAACCCAAGATCAATATACTTCATCTTAACATTCAGCAGTCGGGTATCTTATAAGCAGATAAGGAACAAAAACGCGGTGCTATTGTTAAGTATATTGAGCACATACTGGAAAAGTTTTGTAACACAATAAATACGTATTATATTTAAATTAAATTATTTTAAAAACTTTACCTATTCATAATTAGTTGCATAAGTATATAATAAACAGAAGTTATGATTTTTTTACCTCTCTTTTCTAAGGTAAATAGCAAATCCAATTACACATAAGTCAAATGTACTTAAGAATAAAAATAAAGATTTTAAAAACGTATAATGGAAAAGGATAGTTGTGGATTGGAAAGGTGCCCCAAAGTAAAAGTTTGTCAAAGGACTGAAGAAATAAATGAATATAACAATATGTACAGATATTCGAAAACTGATCCTTTTGCATTACCATTATGACGTGTTTCACCAAGAGGCTCAAGTTTTGGAAGTCTAGTGACTTTGGGGGTTCCCCAGCCAACTAAAGAAAAAGAAAAACATTTAAAGCACTGTTAAACAACATGTCTTTATGTCTGTTGAGAGGGTTCCCTCCTTAGACAAGATGTGCACAGCATTCAGCTTCAACTCAACTATACTGAATGACACAGTGGCAAAGTGACATACATCTATGTGATGGTTTCTATTTAAAGGTGTAATTATAGATTGTTAACCTCTGCACTAAATTTGTATTTACCTTTATTTAGCTGAAAATAAAGCATCTTCATCACCATCATAAATATAAACTTCAACCACTAATTATTCAAACCCCAAACAAGAGCTGAAAAACCTGTTTATGAGATTTAAATAAATCTTAAAATCATTCTCAGAGGATAATGTTAACATGTAAAGCCTTCTAGCAGGGCTAAATGCAAATGCAGTCATTTAGATATTGTTTGATAAATTAAAGTAGCATGCACAGTGATGAAAAATTATAATTACCCCAGTGTCAGTATGTGCTTTACAGGCAACACTATTTTCCTCTTAACAACCTAGTAATCAATACATATATCAGAACTATAATGGGAAATTTCTACATTTGGTTTAAATATTAATTTTCAAAAATTAAAGATCCAGTTTTTTTCAAAGCTCATGTTAGCCATCCATTCACTAAGCTTAAACTTCTTCTAGTAATCTGGGTACTAACACTTCAAATAGGACTTGAATCCATTCTAGGAAGATTTCTTATAGTTCTTACCATTTTTTCCTTTGTAAATATTGTTTTCTAAATATAAAAAAGCAATACATATATTGATATGATCAATTTTGAATAAAGTAAGCAGAGCAAAGAATTCTTTCTTTTTCAGTCACAGATAATGAATCTACCAAATAAAAATGACTTAATTCTTTTTCTTGTTCTCCATTGTTTAAAGCAGAATGTCTAAATTCTGCATCAGTATCAATTTACTCACCCGGAGGAGGAGGTGGAGGTGGTGTTGGACTTTTTGGAGTAGAGTCATCAGTATTCACTGGTTCCACCCGGTGACTCCTTTTTATTCTTAGCTTCTTAGTTTTCTTTTTACTATTATCTATAAGAACATAAAGATGGAACTTTATGACTTTGGAGAAAAAAACTTAAATAATAAGAAATAAAGAACAAAACTAAATATTGATCTTATTATTGTTATTACTATTTGGTAACTTCATGAAGACCTAAATGGATCTTCAGCAAACTATTACTAACAATGAAACTCACTTTCTCTAAGAATAAATTGTTTAAATGATTGTTTATGGAGTGAATGATTAATGAATGTTACACAAACAGCAGAATGTCTATATCTTTGGTTCAGAGTACAGTTAGTTTACATTTACAAAAGTAACATATATTTGCCAAATGTTACATTAAGTAAATATAATTTTCTTCTAACTGCAAGGATTTCCATGAAACACAGATGGCCTGATCAAAGAGCATATGTGTTGATTTATCTCAGGAGGATATGTAGAGTGAATTCAAGGGATAATTCTAGAATAATGCTTTAAAATGTAAAAACTGACCCCAGTAAAATCTTAAGACATTACCCATTAAAATAACCCCTGAACAAGGTATGCCCAGTATAACCATATTTAAGTGAATCACATTAGTAGACACTGCAAAAGTGAATTATGATCTTTATAAAAATGACTATCTACAGACTGTCACTTAAGCACATATAAACATTTTAATGTTTGAAGACATCCATGTTGTTAACATATAAACTGCAATAATATAAATCAGGATTGCATAGTAGTTGAATAATCAAACATTCAAGTTATTGAAATATTTTAATTGACAATCCCAAACTGCTAACTCTGTGTGTGTATACACATACACACACATAATACATTTTCTAAAATGAGAATTATGTAAGAAATAACCAACATCTGTGAGGCCTACAAAGCAAAGAGAAATACAGTTATAATACGACTGTTTCTCTAAGTAAGTGTCATTTGAAACATTTTATTCCAATTGGAACAAAAACTTATTTTTTTTATTATTATATTTTTTAAAGATTTTATTTTATTTGTGCATACAGAACTGGGGTACAGGCCAGAGGCTCAGGGGCGGCGAGAGGCTTCACCAGAAACAGAGTGGGGAGCAGAACAGGCAGATCTACAAAGTACACTGCTGAGGGGAGCAGCGGGCGGGTCAGGAGAGGTCTACCACGCCATGTAGTCACCTCCCGAGCAGGCGGGAATCGAACTCATGCGGAAGTGGCTTCAGCTTCTCAGTGCTGCGCCACCAGGGAGGGCCACAAAAACTTATTTTTATAACTGAAGCTGTAAACTTTAAAACTGGGAGAAAGGAGAGAAAGGTAATGGAACCAAAGGATTCTTTAGAAAGGGCAGTATTTCAGTCATGAAAGAGAAGTAGTTGTGCAGCAGACACGGAAAGTGGGGGTCTCAACTTAGGTAGACACAATGTTTGATTATAAACAAGCTACTCAGCTTTTCCAAACTTCCACATCATTATAATGAGAACAATATACTCTAGGAGTATAAACCATTACCAGCCATCTGAAATCATATTGCTAAGTATAAAAATATGTTAACTATAGTAATTATTTTAGTTATATGACTATTGTAGATCCTTACATTATATTTTTAAATCACTTGCCAAATCAATTTTCTATTTAATAATATATAGTTCTAGAGTTCTTTCAATATACTGTGAAGAAATATTAAATCGCTTTTCCATTTAATCCTGTTGATAGAGCTATATGGAAATGAATATGACTGTCCTAACTTCCCAACTTACAAAACAATTAACTTTCAAATTTTCTCACTGGCTACACAGCAAAATATCCATGTTACCTAATCTGCATCTCAGTGATAGATATCTTAATTTCAAAAACTCTCTTGATACTGACAAAAATTCTTACACACAATGGAACCAACATACTAACTAGGAATGGCAGGGAAGTAATGATCACTGGATATTGCCCTGAGCTAGAAAGACTGTAGTGTTTCTAAAGTCCCTGTGAAAAATTATGACACACATCTCCACTTTAGAGATGAGGCAACCAAGACTGAAGATATACCACATATCTAGAAGATGGGACAGTCAGGATTCTATGCCAGATTGTCAGTTTTCAAATACGGGCTGTCATTCTATGACAGCAAGAGAAATGAACATAACAATTTTGAAAAGAAAAGAATAGTCAGTGGGAGATTTTATATGATTTTAAAATAAAAAGAAAATAACTATTTGATGAATATTTTTAAATGTTAACTATCTCTGGACCCTACAGAAATCACTCAAATGATACTGATTGTAACCACAGGCGTAAAAACATCGGCAACAACAAAATGCCTTACAGGTATTAAATATACTTTAAGGATCTCTGGAGCTATGCTACATTCCAAATTTCTGAAAATGGTTTTGTTTGCTGAAATTCTTTAAAGTTGCAAATATCTACATTTTAAGGCATAATGAATAGAAGTGTTAAATTAGGAAATTATTGACTAAAAATTCTAAGTATATAATTTGAAGACAAAATACACTTTTTTATGAAAATGACACATGAAGTAATTAAAGTTATATAATACACATGTAATGTATATTTACACGCATTAAATGAATAGACTTAACACCTGATTCTGATGATCTCTGGTCTGTCTCATCTTCATTCTCCAGCTGTTGTGTTAAGGCCTCCTTGTAATTTTCCACTATTCCAAGCTCATTGTTTTTTTGGCTACTATCACTGATCTGGCTCTGAGTCTCCATTTGTTCGTGTTCCTCACTGTGTCTCTGAGGACAGCCATCACAGTCTTTATCCTTACTTTGCTTCTTTTTTTCTTTTTCAAGCTTTTTTTCATTCTAACAAAAATGAAATATATCTTTAATATAACAACTGTATTTCAAGATAGTTTTAAGGGAGAAATCAAATGATCAAGAAGCATTGTGTACCTTCAGAGGTCACTGTGATTTTTATTTAAAAATAATTTGTTGAATGTAGCAAACATGTCAGATGCCAAACATTCAAAAAACACAAATAACATAAAGAAAAATAAGTATTATCCAGTAATTCCACAAGCTGGAAATGACCATTATTTGGTATACAGTTAACACAGAGGTGCTTTGTTTTGTTTACTCCCACACACATACATATACTACCCACAAACAGATACATGGGACTGACTCTATATACTTATTTGTCAACTTGCTTGAAAAAAAAAATTGAAGTTTTCATTTAAAATACAATTTTCTTCCTTGTCAATGACTTTAAGAAGTGCTTTAGAACAATATCTGATAGGTAGGATAATGTTAGCTATGTGTCATTTCATGCCACTATATAAGCATTAGCTGTTAAGACTTTAACTATTATCATTTTGAATGGTTATATTATGACTTATTTTACCAACTACCAATCAGTAGTAGACTGAGATTTAGTATCAAATTGTTGCTATAAAGAATATAATTTTAAAATTAGTTCATTAGAATTCTTACCTGGATTAACAGGTCAATCACATTTTAAAATGTGATGTATTACAAACTACCCTTCAGAAAAACTAGTAAACTTATGCCACAGACAAAATCCAGAGGTGCAGGAGGTGAAAGGATTCACCAGAGACTGAATCCTGGGGAGCAGAAAGCAAGGTAGGAGAGTTCTGCTGTGCCATGTGGGTCTCTCTGGCTGACCCAGGGACCAAACTCTTGCTGCAGTGGCTAGCAGTAGCTTGATAGTGCTATGTCTTTAACCTATGCACGGCTAAGGAGACCCCATGTTTATTTAATCATTTTTTGATTACTAGTAAAGATAAATACTGTTGCTATTTTTTTTTCCCTCTATGGAACAATTCATGGTAACCTAGTACCCATTTTCTGTTAAGACTCTCATTATTTTCATACTAATTCTGAAGGGTTCTCTTTTTTTGTCCTATGTTTCAAAATGCATTTGGGTTTTGTTTGGACTTTCTGACTTCTTGCATTTAACTTTGTAGAACAGATCTTTAAAAATAACTATTCTGAGGGCCCTCCCTGGTAGTACAGGGGGTTAAATTATGGCACTATGAAGCTGTCCACAGCCACTGCAGTACATGTTCAATCCCCTGCCCCGGAGCTGATCCACATGGCATGGCAGAGCTCTCCAGTCTCGCCCGCTGCTCCCCTCAGCAGTGTATTTCAGTCAGTGGGCCTGTCCGGATCCCCACTCTGTCTCTGGCGAATCCTCTCAGCCCCTGCACCTCTGGCCTGTCATAAACAAATCTTAAAAAAATAAATTCTGAGACCACTATACTTTTCACTTTATGACATTTGGCTTGATTTTCCTGATTTGAGAGTTGTTCTTCCATGTATATACAAATATTTAATTATATTTACTTGTTAAAATTTTTAAGCTTCTTCTTTTAAATAATTTAAATAAACTTAAGTCTTTTGAAATCTAATTTGACATACAATATTCAAAATTTCACTTTTTCTCCCAAAGTGAGAAAGGTTCTAACCTTCTTTTCCTTCAGATTTAAAGTGTTACTTTTATCTTAAAATAAATATTCATACTTCATTAGGTTTGCCACTATTTGTTCTTTCAATCTGCCTATTCTGGAACCATTGTCTCACTTTTTATTATCTGTAGTAAAATTAGAGAAATGTAAGGTACTTCTCTGTAATACAAACATTTTATATGAGGATTGTGGGCAGGGGAAAGAAAATTTTCTTCATGAAAAGGAGACTATGTAATGTTTCAATTTTAACTGATTTTCTTACTATTATCATAGTTTAAAAACATAATAACTTTCACTACACCACTAATTAATTCAGGAACTTTCAAGTATTGTTCATATCTTCATACCATGAAAAGCAGAATGTTGCTAGAATCACCCAGGCCTTCTAATTCATAACCATGGTATATACTATAGAGTAATTCACCATTTTTTACAGGAAAGTATCTTTTACACATACAGTAAATATACATGTACTCTTGTGTATGTATATATGTTATACATGTACTGTTTGAAAGAAAAAAAAGAGAAGCTCGATTTCCTTTTTCTCTATCAATATTTTTTGAAGAACAGAGTAGAACTTGACACTCCATGTTTAAGAGGAGACAAAACAATCACTCATTTAACATTAAAACAGCTTTACTGCACACAGAAAAGCATATTCTTAAGGTAAATGTAATGGGGTTAAATTAATAAAAAGATTAAGTATAAATTACCTTTTGGTACAAATAATATACACAAATACCTTGCGTTACCAATTATTTTGCAAAATAAAGCACTATCAAAACTATCCAATCATCTTCTTACCTGTGGAGCTGCCTCCCTCCTCAGCAGCAGCCCCAAGGAAGAAACAATCATCCACCTTTCCAGTAAGCACCTGTGTGAAAGGAGGTAGTAACAGGGCAAGGAGAATGGAGAATGTATGGGTGGGACCGGCAAGCCAGCTGCCATATTTAGCTGAGCTAATGATGGAAGTTTAAGTAGTAATGCCTCTAAGAAAGCATGGCCGCTGAAGACAAAAGAAGGGCCAATGCAAATTCCAGACACCAGAAAATACACACGTACACACACACACACAACACTTCGTAATTAAAGCCTGCAAATTAATTTTGGTAAAATTCCTGACAATTGAAACAATACCCAGATATAGGAGAATGTATTAATTTCAAATATTCTTGAGTATCTTAGAAAACTAGAAAATTATTTAAGTACTTGGAACATATCATAAGCATTTAAATATTACAGTGAAGGGGTAGTAACTGCAACACAATGATAAAGACAAAGTTATTAAGCATAAATATATTGCTACCATTTCAAATAAATGTCAAGATTTATAGAACAGCAATTATAACAGCTGCTATATTTAACCTTCATTTTTATTCACATAATTATGAAATATGTTTCCTTTTTCATATTAATCAAAAGTTAATTTAAAGAATGAAAAGAAAACCTTTTCTCCAAATCTCCATTTGATTACTTTTTAAAATAACAGAGCTCAAGTGAAACATTTCGATCTACCAGCCTTTCCCAGGTTCTCACTTTCTTTCTCAACTTCCAACTTTGTAACTTAAGATAGAAAAGTAATATTTGCCATCATCCATACCTCAATGATTACAGATGCAATGGGCTGGAAAGGATTAACAATAACAGGTTCTGGGTCCAGCTCAGCCAAACCACCAGTTCCATCAAGTTCGGCCTGCTCTCGCTCTCTTTGCTCTCTGTTGTTCAAAGAGAAAAATTTGAAATTCTATTAGTGAAAATGCTGACCCATGTTTAAGAACAACGTGATAGAGTTGAGGCTACTGAATGTTAGCAATTTAAATATGTGGACATGGCTAGGTAAGAAGTCTTAACTCCCATGTAAAGATTCATTATTTGAATTTTAAGACAAACACTGCCCAAAGTAGCACACCCATCATTAACTTCTTATGTTAATGGTAAATATTATTGTTCTATATCTTAAGGTTTATTTTTATGATTTAATTGCCGACCCAAACCAATGCTGATCCTAACAGATAATTACTCTTATTAATCCCCATATGGCAACTGTTGCTTCATACAATAGAAGCTATAAAAAACTGTCCTATGTCACTCAGAAAAGTTTCATATCAGTTACTAATGAAATGTTTACTTGTCTCCCTGATTTCTAGTTAACACTATGCCACACATGAAGTTACTGTATCTGAAAGGAGAAAAATAAATATTGTTGGCCTGCAGCTAGACAATTTGTACAGTGAAACAATGTGAATGTTTGTTGCTTAACATTTATTAATTATATTATTCGAGTTACCTACGATTGCTATTGTTTTCACATATCAACAACTGCTTATTTTACTGTTTTTCAAAAATATCTGAATCAACTAGGTTGTAGTTAATAAAGTAATTTTTTTTTTTTTTACATAAATCACTTCTCCTAATGCCAATTTACTGGCAATTATGGATTCCTTGCTCCAAAGAAGAGGCCACATATACAGCAAGTAGCATGACTAGGAAGAAAGGAGGAAAGGGACTGCATCAACAAAATAGTCCACCATAATATAACCTGGAATATCTTGGTGGAAAAGATAAACACTTGAAAGAAAAAAAGGATTTACCCAACTTAATTTCTTGCTGCTTTTGTCTGTGTAAGAAAAAGCAGAAGAGGCTTGAAAGAAGTATGGCCGTATCTTTTATTATTGTAAGTGTATAAAAGATAGGTTTATGTAAATGAGTGTATTGAACTTTGTATCATAAAAAATACACAGTAGTACAAAAAATTCTTACAGGAAACAGAAACTCATCTTGGTAGCTGTCTAATCACTTCCCTTCATTCTTTCTTGGAAATATCAAGGGATGGCACACCTGTTCATATCATTTAACATTTGATAACATGAGTTACCTTTACAAATATTTCTTTCTGTTAAGGCCTAACTGGAGTTAAATGAAAGACACCAGTAATCAGAGGGTTTCTGTGTCTGTGCACACCTCAAAAAGCTTGACCAAGGGTAGTTAATGGTTTGTTCCTTTCATGCTACAATTATCAATATGTTTATAAAACAGAGTCCTTGTTACTTAGGAAGATGGGAGAAAACTTTGGAGCTTGTAGGAGTTCAATTAAAAATCATTTCATTTCTCCCTTCTCCTACCATGCAATAATCCAGAAGAAAATGAGAAGTCTTAGAATTAACTAAATTCAATGTCTAATCAAATCTATGTACTTTTCTAGCAGCAATAAATTATGTTACTAAATGATAGAATTTATATAATCATTTCTTTTAAATTCTGGTTTAGTCCAAAAATTCCTTTTGGATAATATTTTAAATACTTAAAAAAAAAAAAGCTTGGTGCAGGCAAGAGGCGTGAGAGTGAGAGGATTCACCAGAAACAGAGAAAGTCACATCTCCTGAAATACACTACTGAAGGGAACAGCTAGTGAGACAGGAGAGGTCTGCTGTGCTATATGGGTCAGCTCCCTGGCTGGGGGTCTGCGATGGTTGTGGATTGTTTCACAGTGTTGACACTTATGTCTGAGGTAGAGATACATTACTTTGCCACCAGAGTGGCTCATGGGTAACAATTTTAAAATAATTTTAATACTGATTTTAAATATTAATATTAAAACACATAAAATGTGTTTTAACGATTTCATTTGCTTTCTGATAAAACTAGTGTTGAAGATCAGATTTTGTTGACAAATCCAATAATGCTTACTTTCTATTTTTACTGAAAGTCGGTTCCTAATTATTGTGGGAGATGCCCTGTGATTCATGGGATATTTATTAGCATCCTGATCAGCTAGCCATGTCAGTGGCATCCACATACACTTCATCCCCTCCAACTGTAATAAGTATGCCACTGGGCATTTTCAAATGTCCTCTGAGAAGCAAAATATCCTATGAACTGAGAACCACTACACAAAAATCATCAGAAATAAAAAGCAATAATCATACAACTCTAGTAAATAATTAACAGCTAAGGACTAAATTGAACTACTGTAACACTAACTGGAAAATAAGAAAACTATTACCTGCAATATGTAGAGAAAGGTTCACAGAAATAGAAAATTTACCTATTGTCTTCCTTTATACCAAAATAGAAAAACTGAATAAGTAAAACTAGTAATTTATTTATAAAACTATAGTTTCCTGACTTTTGAAATGTATTGTGGTATCAAAAAAAAAAAAAAAATCAATCTACTTACCTTTCTTCCCGTAATTTTCGCACACGTTCAGCCCTTTCTCTTTTCTCTTGTTCCTCAAGAGCACGTTGTTCTGTTGTGTCTTTTTGGATGCGTTCATTTAGGGCATCAAAGTCTCTTGCAATGATATGTAACAGCCAATACAGGCCTTTTTTAATGGACTTGTCAATTTTCTTTCCATATCCCAAGACTGCTGAACAAGGTTCCTAGAAAACAGCAATTACTTGACTTACAGTTTAAAACAAATTAAGTTCTCCACACAAATCTGCTCATAAGCCATCACATGTAAGTACTGGCAAACCAAAATAAACCCATTTAAATTAATGGGAATATAACACAAGATGTTGATGCTAGTTATAATTTTAAACAAACTCATAGGAAGACAAACTTGAACTGCTGCAAGAAAAATACCCTACTTATTAGAAATACCTGGAAGTTTTCATTACAATACTATAGAATATAAGGTAAGATTTACAGCTTAATGATCACTTTATGAGATGTGTAAAATCTCTACCCACCTTTTATAAGATTGTATAACTCTTTTGATGTGATTTTTTAAGTCATTATAAACCTAAGTTTCAATTTTTAAATACATTTGTCGTTTTACAAAATTTATCAGTATGTGTATTCCTTTACAGATCCTAAAGACCTTAAACAAAAGCCACTTTTTTTATTATTCAATGTTTTTTAATAACATAATAGTTTATTTTTACATCATTTTGTGCCTTTTTCCATCTCAGTTGTAATCCCCATGGGCTTCCCATCACCAAATCATGTGTGCCATCACCATAGTTCAGTGCACTTCCCTTCCCCCATCATTTTTGATCCCAGTCCCTATTCAACCCCTGTAAAATGTCTCCGGTTCATTATCATTATTATTTTCTCCCCTGGTTCTTTATGAGTGAAACCATCTGATATTTTTCCTTTTCTTTCTGGCTTATTTCACTGAACATGATCTTTTCTTGCCCCATCCACATTGCAGCAAAAGGCATGTGTTTATCCTTTTTGATTGCTAAGTAATTTTCCATTGTGTATATGCACCAATTCTTTTTAATCCAGTCATCTACTTTGGGCATTTGGGGTGTTCCCATGTTTCCAATTGTAAATAAAGCAGCAATATAAGCATGGGGGTACAGCTGTTTTTTGGAATCAGTGTTTTGTGTCTTTTGGGTAGATACCTAGGAGTGGGATTGCTGGGTCATATGGTAGCTCCATTTTTAGCAGTTTGAGAAACCTCTGAACAGTTTTCCATAGTGGTTGTACTGGTTTGCATTCCCACCAGCAGTGAAGGAGAGTTCCTTTTTCTCTACACCCTCACCAACATTTGTTGTTGCAAGTTGTTTTAAGATGTGCCATTCTCACTGGGGTGAGGTGGTATCTCATTGTGGTTTTAATTTGCATCTCCCTTCTTACAAGTGATGTTGAACATTTTTTCATATGCATGTTGGCCATCTGCATTTCCTCTTTGGAGAAGTGTCTTTTTAAACAAGAGCCAATTTTAAGATCTTAGAAATCATGAAAGATAATTTATGGAAGTACCAAATAATAAAAACACTAAGATTATTTTGTTAGTTGTTTACACCATATTATCTATTAACTTTCCAAAAAATAAATTATACTGAATATATGTCAAAAGGCAAAAAAAATTCCAAAAACTTACTATTTGACATAGGCACTTGTGTTCATTGACCAATTTTTCTAGAGATAGACATTCAATCACATCAGCTTCTCCTAAAGCTCCTTCCTTATCTTGTTTGTTTGCCAACCTAGAGAAACAAATATAGAAGTTGTATAGCAAATGTATAAATGGATGGTCATTGAAAAATATTATGACCATTCTTATTCAAAAATGCTAAGACTACTCATAGATTATATAGGCTTTAGAAAGTAATGTGGTATGTACTTCATCATTTTACCTTTTACTAGTGCTAAAATGATTTCTAAAAACTGGCCTATAAGACGGAAATCGTGTTAGGTGTCAAAAAAAAACAAGAAAACCTATAAGAAAAAAAAAAGTGGACTAGTTTCTACAGCCCTCAAGCTACCAATTTTAACTTTTACATTAACTACATCCTTTCCTTATCAAAACAATTTGCATTATGATAAGATGCCTTTATCTGTAATTTCCAAATACTTAAGGTGTATAATGGTACAACTGCCTAAATATTCACTCTGAGTTTATAATATTGGAGCCCATCTGCCTTTCCAGTGTATCACTGTATAGACAATGTATAGAGAGATGAGACCACTTTTTCTGATTCACTTGTCGGAGCACTGTGCATAAGAAGTATTAGTCAATTGGGGTAATTGGTGAACAACAAATAAAAACCAAAATAAGATCTGAAAATATATAAATTACCAGAAAATATTACTATATACCAATGAGACTGCAGAGGTAAAAAAAGTTTAGTCAAACACTGTCTTGGTGAGAGTTTGATACATAAGACAAATACATATTTAAAATAAAAACATAGAATAATGTTCATCATACAAAAATGATGCAATAATAATAATAAATCCCTATCGTGTCTTGTAAAAGTATCGACGTAGTGCCATTGTTGCTTATCTACATGGCTTCCACTTTCTCCCTTCATGTCACTTCACCAGGACTTCAAAAACAATTGTCATAATACCACCATTCCACCTAAAAAAATTGATACTCCCAATATCTTTCTAGAAATATCGTCCAAATTTAATTCCAACCAAGATGCATGTTAAACATTATTCTTTTACACCTTTCTTTACTACTTCTGTTTCTCCCACATCTGTCTGTAAAATAAAACAAGTAATTTTTCTAAGAATCTCACACAATTGGGATTTGGCTAATATTTTCCTCATGCAACCATTTAATGTAAAATCCCTCTATTTCCTTTATCTGCTTCAGCTAGATATTCAAGGTAGATGAGTCACAAGTTGAAATCTTTTGGTAATTACAAGATGGTGATGTCACCTCTGCTACTTTTCCTCTAGTCCTTCCCTTCTACTAAGGTAAGCATTTCATTTGTTTTAGTTCATTCTCCCATTGTTTCTTTTTGAAAATATAAGCAAGTATATGGAGAACGATATGTAAATGACCACAATACGAGTATCATGAATACTTGCTGCTATTGCTTAAAATATGTGTTTTGTGTCTATACTCCCTTTATTCCTCAAAAGTTAGTATTTCAATATATACTCTGTACCACCAAGCTTTATTTTTTTTAAACAGAATAGTAAGTTCTGAAACAGCCTAGAGCAGTATAAAGAGATCTTCCTTACTACTTTTTAAAGTTGTAAAATGCTCACTGGATGGAAGTTGTACCATTTGTTTGTTCAGCCAGTCCTTTACTTAAAGACTTGTTCCTAATGTTTTCTTTTTATAAAGACTGTGAAGAACAGATGTGTGAAGGATTATTTATTTTTGGAACATATTGTATTGTAGAACACTAAGTCAACAGATAAATGCAAATGTTATTTGATTAAATGCAATGTCCCTATTCTTATATTCAAATCAAATCATAACTCAGAAGAGTGGTATGTGTTAGAAAGTTATAATTTTTCCTAAAAATACCTGAATCTGATAAAAAATAATCCTGAATTGCTTGTAGCAATATAAACAGTTTAAATATATGACTACACAATTTTTATCAATATAGAAAACTACAGTTGTAACAGTTTAGTAAAGGAAGGTGGAAGGATTAAAGACATGAGCTCACTCTATTCTGGATACTATAGTTTGCGAACGCTACCTTTTTTTTTTTTTGAGGTAAGCCTTTGGATTTCATAAAATAGAATTCAATCATGTGAAAATAAATGAAATAAAAGCCTTTTTATCAAACATTTCCCCATTCCTAGTTAATTAAAAATCTGTATTAGTAAGTTTTGGTACTCGAAGAAATTAGAGTACCTTTTGTTTAAACAACCCTCCCTTTTGGTGAGTAATGCATCTTACATATCACTCAGCATTGGAATCAGAGTCATGGACAAAATGCTCTATGCAAGCAATTTAACAAGGACTTCCTGTTACTAAGGGCTCCAATGAAAATGATCTTCCTTTAATCTAAAGAATGGGTGCTTAACAGGCAGAACCGGATTCTCCAGGTGTGAAGTAAGCAATTTGTTCTTCTCATTTGATACTAACAGGGAAAGGACAACTTTATCTCTAACTTATTTGACTTCATTATCCGGCTCTCAATTAAGTTAACGACATGAAAACCATACAGAAATTATCGTGTGAACTACAAGAGCAAGATTGAAGGACCTTGGTAAAATATTAAAGATGATATGCAGATTTTCTCTCACAACCAGGACTCCAACATTGCAAGTGGAAAAGCAACAAAAGGATCAAGGCAAAAAAGCAAAAAGGTAAATAGAACATTGTTTTTTTGGAAATTCTGGGGTTTTTTGTTTTTGTATTTATTATGACACATCCATAGACTGAAATCTGGTAAACTGTGACATTTAAAAATTGCTTAACAGATAATTAGTTACTTGTTTTGCTCAGATTTGGAACAGGCAGGCTACAGGCAGAAAATCTGCTCACATATACTAAGATATACTGCATGGAATTTGGCTTAGAGTTCTTAGAAACAGGCCACCACATTAAAAACTAGCTTTTTCTTTTGAAAAAAAAAAATTCTTGGAAACACACTGTAAAGTTAGATACTACCAAAAAAAAAAAGAGAATTCTTTCCTACAGACAAACTATAAGTTACATATGTGCTTTACTTTAAAGAATTCAATTTTATTTAACTCTGAAAAGAAGTTTATGTATGTGTATAATACTTAAAGATAATTTTCTATGTCTTAGATTTCTTCCTTGGTGTTTCCCAGAATGTTTTAGAGGAAATTTTAGAAAATAATTTGTTGTAAAGGGTCTACTCTGAAATATTGACATACTGACTTCCCTATTGGTTCATTTAATATACTGAAAGTAATTGAATTATAAAATTTTATGTAAATATTATATATGACTTGACAAGTTTAAAAGTTTAAGCTATCACCATTTAAGTGAAACACAGATACATCTCATACTTTCAAAATGGAGTAATAAAAACAAGATTAAACAGATGTGTTTTAATTTTTGATTGCTTTTATAACTTATCATGTTAGAATCTAACAAGTAAATCATTTCAAATCAAAATAAAATTGAATTTTAATAGGTGCTTTAAGATGAATTAGAAAGTTGGCTATATGATACCTAGAACATAATGCATTAGCTACATAAATTTATTTTAATGTAAAAATATTATATTTACAAATAGCTGCTTCAAGTAAATGAGATTCTAAAGTTATACAAGATGTTAATACTTTCTAAGAAGTAGTCTTTTTAATGTTAATAATTAGCCATTAACTTACTTATAGTTGATAAAAGTAGAATAAAAGAGCCCTGAAAAATTATATTACAAAAAAAGTCATAAATTTAGAGGACAAATATTCAATGTGTAATCAATCATCTTTTTAAGTTTGTTTTCCAAATAAGATCAGATACTTTCACCTTGCAACTATAATGTTCTAAAAATGTTGCAAGTTTTCTTGATACACAAACACAAGAGAATGCTCCATTTTATGTTGGATTAAAACTGGTTACATTTATTGAAATATTTATTTAATCAATATAGTAAGTATAGAAAAAAATGTCTTACTCAAAAAAAATCTATAAATTGATATACTACCAATCCCCAAGTGCTTTCTTAAAGCACTAGATAATTTATTCATGCTTCTGTTACTGGAAATGTTCCTTATCTGAAAATATCTTTACTTTGTGGAGAACTTTTTTTTTGAGTAATGCCAAGTTAACTTTCCTATTCCCCAGACCAAACTGCAAAAGTTAATTACCACATATAAAAATAAGCGTTCTTACTTTCTTCTTGCAAATATAGCTAAGCTCAAAGATGTAGTCAATTATTGTCAGTACAGCTCAAAACTGTACAGCAATGCAGTAAGTTAACCATGGTGGAATATTATTCAAATTGGACAGACTATCTGACAGTAAATTTAAGATACAGAAAACATCTCATAAAATGATCTCACTTTTACCTAACATAAGCAGTTAAAATGACTTCACAACTATGAGCTTAATACTTTCTGCCTTTATAAACTCTCATCCAATTTTCACATTCTAATACACTTAAAGGTCTCCTTTGTCTAGTATTCTAACTTATGAAGATGTAAAATCAAACAATTAAATTAAAAGCATTTATGAATATAGTTATGAGCAGGCGACCAACCACTAGAAAATGTAATTTATATACAGCTGGTAAGTGCAGCAAGATACCCACATTAAGTCAACATCTGCACTGATGAACAGGATTTGGGGAACATTCTGAAATATGTTAACTCTATAAAGAGAACCGATATGACTTTCAGTTAAGATGCAGAGATATATATAGACAGTATTCCCTTTAGTTAAAAACATACAGAATTTTTTTACTTAAAAGACAATTACGGGCCCTCCCTGGTGGCGCAGCAGGTTAAAGCACTGCACTGAGAATCTAAAGCCGCTTCCGCATGAGTTCAATTCCCGCCTGCCCGGGAGGTGACCACATGGTGTGGCAGACCTCTCCTGACCCGCCCGCTGCTCCCCTCAGCAGTGTACTTCTCGATCTGCCTGTTCTGTTCCCCACTCTGTCTCTGGTGAAGCCTCTCACCTCCCCTGAGCCTCTGGCCTGTGTACCCCACTTCTGTATGTACAAATAAATAAATCTTTAAAAAAAAAAAAAAGACAATTACAAAACTACAAACATCATTACATTTGACACTAAGAAAGGTTAAATTCAAAGTTGCACAAATGAAAAGAGAAAACACTCATAGCCAAAGTGGAAAACAGGAATTAAAGCAAGCTCCACTGCGCTGTTAGAAGTAATTTGCCTTAGTAAGTGGAGTTTAGGGTGTGTGCATAATAGGGAACTAAAACTGATTTTCCTAGGCAAGTAATAAACTAGGAAAAAAAAAAAAACAGAACAGAGCCAGTAGGCAGTGAAAGGAGTATCTGTTGGCTTGCTCAACAGATACTCAGTTATACAGATACTCAGATATAGCAGTTTGTATGGTACTTGTTCAGGCTATAAAATCACTAGAGAAAATCCAGGCCCATGTTTATACTACATAGGTCACAGTGGACAAACTCCATGGAGTCCCGATGGTGACAAATACAGAAATGAGCTCAAAAATGGATCCACAATGCAGGACATGAAGGGCACTATGGATAATATAACTCTCCATTAAAGACAAACTGTTGACAAAGTTCACTAAATTTACACTTGCCAACCACCAAGAGAACAATCAGTGGCCACAACAAAATATGGTAATCCTACAAAACCAGAAATAACCTAATGTACAAGATCTTTAACATATGCATACTTTAAACATTCAAAAGAGATAAATGTAAAAAATTCCTAAAAATATCTTTGATTCAAATTTGAAAATGTGGTAACTTCTCCAGGCAACTGCTTTTCCAAGGACAGCAGGAAAAAACTACCTTTACCAGGGTCAGAGTCTTCTATCTTGGTTTCTAAAATTAATAACAGTAAAATTCAAAAGCATTTTGCAAAGGTATGACATGTTACAGTATCTTTTTTTTTTTTTTTAAATCTGTTAAACTATGATATTTCCGAGGGGGAAAAAAAAAGCTTTTGATGGAACTGGTCACTCATTTCTAATTTAAAAAAAGAAAGATTAATCCATTTTAGAAATGTTAGCAATGAAAAATGATTTATTTCGATCATGAAACCTGAAAAAGTTAAAGATATTACACTTCTTGAAAACATGAAATCCAAGATTATTAGCCATTATATAAAGATGAAATAGGACTTCATTCTCATGAATACAAAATTAAAACCTGTTTTGACCCTCCACTCCCCAATCTTTTACCTGAGACACCAATAAAAATAACTGCTTTCTTTACCCCATATTATTATCGGGAGCACAAGTTAGTTTTATTAAGGAAAAAAAAAAGCACAAGTAATATATCTATAACATTGTAATTATAAAAATTCACAATACTAGTTTTGTACAGGAAGAAGAAAAAGGAATCTGTGATGTAAACAGGAAGTGAATCTGATTTCCCATCTATCTTCTCAGTCTATGACAATGAGCTAAAGCAGAAATAAATTTAAGAATCCCAATCTTTATAAAAAGCCAAGAGTAGGATTTAAAAATTCTTAGAGACTTTCTGTGACAAAGATAAGATCAGAACTAATTCCAAATTCTTTTTCTTCTAAATTGTAAAGTGCTTAACTTGGTTTGATTAAAGATCCTAATAAAGATGCAAACAATATAATTATTTTAGATTTAATATGCTATGTCTCCTTGCAAGTTTTTTCTTTTAAACATAGTATTTACACTAATAACAAAATAGCACAGTGACACAAATCAGTGTCATTTACAGTATGTGTCACTAAACTAACCTATTTCTATTCATTATGGAATGGGGGAAGCACAGATTTGCAATCAGGTGGACATATATGAATGTAGCCTCTGCCACTCTTAGTTATGCAGCCTCTGGCAAGTAACTCACTTTGGTGTGAGTTGTTTCTCTTTTTAACATATGAAATTATCTTCATTTGGATGTTGACTTTCTTTAACTAATTTTCTTCGATTCTGAAAGGTAAAGTTACTTAATGGAGGCTACACAATTAAGAGACTATGGTGAATCTTCTCACCGCCCCTGCACCTCCAGGGGCCTGCACCCCAGTTCTGTATGCATAATAAATAACAAATATTAAAAAAAAAACAACAAAATATATTGTCAACAGTTGTGCTGTAAATTAGGCCATGATGAAAGTATCCAATGAAACAGAATAAAAAGAATGCTACATATAAATATATCAGTTTTTTTTTTCAGTTCAATCCAAGAGTTCTAGAATGCATTAGTGATATAATTGTATATCAATGAAATAAGTCATTATTTCAAGAAAAAAATTGAAGGTTAACATGGTTCCTGATTGTGTGGTGGTTACATAGGATTTTTATTTTGTGAAAAACATTTATGTTTTAGGTACTTCCTACATATGTGAAAATACATTAATTAAAAGTTTTCTTAATGTACACAGATCCTATTTCTATCTATTGTAAAGGCCTTGAAAAAAATGAAAAAAATTATTTGAAAAAGGAAATATAACTGTATATTATATTATGACTTGAGCATAAATAATACTTGGGTAGTCATAGTAAACATAGAATACTGATTAACCAGAAACTGTGATATAACATTAAGGGGGAGATTTCCGGGAAGAATAGGGATATAAGAAGCTAAATCTCCAAGTCTCTTAGTGGAAATTCAATATAGTCTTTAAAATTGAAAAAAGCAAAAACATGCAGACATATTATCCAAGATCGGGACGATAGCTGCCTAGCTCAGAAGCTAAAAATTACTATCTTAGAGAAGGGAAATGGGAACTGGAAATGGTGTGACGCAGGGCAGGCAGGGGACCATTGTAACTCTTATATCACAGAAAAGACAGACTTATTAAATTGTTTATATGTACTAATTTGAGAAAAATAAAAATTTATTTATTTATTTTTAACATTTTAAAATAGAAAAGAAGACAGAAAAAGAAAAGGTACCTCCATGATCACAGATGGGCAGGAGAGCTGCTACTGATGTTTTGCAAAGGGGAAAAAAAAAGGTTTGTGAAAAGAAACGTCTGATAGTCCAGGTGGGCAGAGAGCTGCACTTGCTGATCATAAAATCACCATTTAAAAAAAGAAAGTCTATAGCCAAATCAAAAGTATATAACATCTTAAAACACTTTGGAAAGGTATTTATTTTCAGGATCAATATGGTAGCAAGAGAGAATATGTAGATAAGGAAATGATAACAATAAATCTAATGAAGAACAGTAGGGGGCCATTTGCGATCATCACTAAACCAACTATTATTAGCATCAACAGTACCCTGGAAAAAAGACAAGACTTTATCAGAAGCATTTAATAAATGAGTGATAATTCTGCTTTTACCCAGTTACCAAATAAGAAAAAGTTTCTACAGCACTCTCCAGTTTTTAGGTATCTTCATGTCTAAAGGTATAATCAACAAATATTTAATGAAATACTGAACACAAAAGATTACATACATGATGCCAGCTTTATATGATATAACAGTGAAGGAAACGATTATTATATACTTGTATGGAAAAAGCACTGGTTTAGTTGCCAAGCAGTATTATTATTCCAACAGTACTCACCCTAACTCTGGCTAAGATATTCGACTTTTCTGAGTCCCAACTCCTCATAAGAAAATGAGAAAATTGATTCATTAACCTCTAAGAATTCTTCTGCAGTCAAAAACAATATCCAATAGAGGTCAGTTCACCTCCCCTTTTGGGGACAGGAATGCATTAAACATCATACCACCCTCACTCAGCTAACTGAAGTGTTGACATGGCAAGTATCACACATTACTACAGGGCTACAGAATTTTAACTCCTCTGAGGGAGCTCCATACCTGCTGCGATCTTTAATAATTTGCCACACTCAGATGGAGCTATCTCCTAGTGATAAGATTCCAAAGATGGCACACACAAGAAAATCTTGTTTCAATCCACAAAGATGTGGGAGTTGTTAGTATTTGTGGCATAAGGAACATATTTTGACTGGAAAAAATGGGGTCAGGTAGAAGTTTTCATAAACCAAATATTTAAGACACAAAATTTTGACTTACAGTATTTCATAAAGCTAAAAATCTTTCTAACGTATCTGTCTTAATCTGTGAATTTTTATATCAGACTGTTAATTACAATTATTGTAATGAATTAATTATAACTTTCTCAGCATTTAAAATTATACATAACTTATTATTAACTTGTTTATAATAAAATTATTAAAAATTTATCAAAATTTATGCACATTTAATTCTTCTCAATTAAAGTCTGTTTCATTTTAATTTGACACAAATATTTATAAGCTATTACACATATTCCTCCTATTTTATTTAATCCCTACTTGTATAGAGGATGAAGAAATGTATTCCTAGAAGACATGTGTAACCTATATCAACAGCTACTAGATGTTTTATATTGATCTATATCCCTAACAAAGTTCACAGTCTTATTTCTAGTGCCCACCTATAACCCTCATTGATAAGTCTTCTTTTTACAAATTTCCCAGATTGATATCAAATACATTTTTTTTCAACAGAAAAAAATGTTCTATTTTTACACTAGAGAAATACTTAAATTGCAAAGATGGAACAAAGTTGTAGGGAGAAGTGGAGGATAAAATACCTTTCAGCTCTGAAGTCTCTAACTTACATAAACTACATAAATTGAACCGGTTTTATTTTTAATATAGCAAAAGTGGGGGGGGGAGATGGCAGCAATTTGATTAAGTATTTAAAATATTTAGAGTAAATAACAGAAAATTCTAAATGCATTTAAGCAAGAAAAATATGCCCTTAAATGTTTACAGCCAGTACATAAAAATCTGAAGAAACCTTTCAATCTTTTTCCCACTATTTTTTTTTTTCAAAAAGAGATATCAAGGTCTTATCTCTTATGACTGATAACAAAGCTAGGCTGCTATTTTTTGGTAAGGTGGCAAGGACAGTTTAACTTAAAGGAAACATTTCAACAAGCCCTAAAGGAGATGGGGGAGTAAATCGGCATTAAATGGGAACAGCATTTCAGAGAAAACCGGTGAGGCATGAGAATGGTGCGACCTAACATAGTTCAACCTGTTTCTGTGCTAAGAAAAGACCAAACGGGAGAGTAATATAAAAGAGGAGACCACATAATACAGGAGACTAATGCAATGAGAAATGATGGTGACTTGGGTAAGTGAGGTGGTAAAAGCTGACTGAACCCAGATATAACTTGAAAAGGGGGGTGGCAAGCTTTGCTGTTAGTACAGGTGACAGAGGAAAAATGCAAGAGTAAGAAAGAATTATTCCAAAGTTTTTGATCTGAACAAATTAGAAAAGAATTGTCATTTACTTAGATGGAGCCATTTGAGGATGGGGAGGAAAAGCAGGAACTCATTTCTGACAAATTTGTTCAAATGGAACTGTGAGTGAACAGATGTTAAGAAAGCAGTGTAAATCTGATTTATCACCCAACAGACAATATTTAATGTCATGAGACTAGAAAATAACAATGGATAAAAAGGATACTAAGTCTGGAAGCATTTAATATTACAGTGCTTAAAGTTCTCATGGAATCTGTCTTGCTGCTACTATTGGTTTTAATTCCAGTACATATAGTGAGTTAATGAGTGTTTATTGACATCAGAAATAAAACATTAGAAATAATTAACTAGAAATAGTATGCTTAGTAATAATTAACTAGTAATAGTATGCTTAGTAATAAGGGTACTTTCACAGTACCCTTTTCATCCTAAAAGTTGGAAATATGGCCCATCTTCCATTTTAACATGCATCTCCCTATATCAAGGGGGAAAAAAAATCTATCATAATACCAAAGAATTTATTTTGGGGCAAGTGTATCTTCATCACTGCCAACCAGATGAGATTCCTACATTATGTGAAAGTCATCTTTCAGTTATTTTACACTCATTTTCTACTTTCAATGACCTTTATGAGGACATTCTTATGTTTCTAACTTTTAGCCTCTTTTCAGAAAACCAAGATTTTCCCTTGAAGATAGAAGTAACATGAAGCCAACTGCTACTGTGAGAAAATAGCAAATATTTCTTTGCTCAACACAAACATTTTTGCTTCTAAGGAGGACGGGAAAGATGAAAGACAGACTTCAAGAACTAAAGCAGAGAACAAAGGAAATTGAACTCTCTAGAGACAAGCTCGTGCCCACCACAGAAGCAGAACAAGGGGTGTTTCTGCAGCAAGCTGTTGTTTATGAAAGAGAGCCTGTAGCCGAGAGACACCTACATGAGATCCAAAAATTACAGGAGAGCATTAACAACCTGACAGATGATGTTCAAAAATTTGGGCAGCAACAGAAAAGTCTAATGGCTTCCATGAGAAGGTTTAGTCTACTTAAGAGAGAAGCCAGCATTACAAAGGGGATAAAAATCCAAGCAGAACATATTAATAGAGGCTTAGATGATTTGGTGAAAGAGGTTAAAAAGTCAGAGACTGAAAATGGTCCATCTTCAGTGGTCACAAGAATACTTAAATCTCAGCACACTGCAATGTTCCGCCATTTCCAGCAAACTATGTTTATATATAATGACACAATAGCAGCTAAACAAGAGAAGTGCAAGACATTTATTTTCCGCCAGCTTGAAGTTGCTGGAAAAGAAGTACCTGAAGAAGAAGTAAATGATATGCTTCACCAAGGGAAATGGGAGGTTTTTAATGAAAGTATACTTACCGAAATCAGTATCACTAAAGCACAACTCTCAGAGATTGAACAGAGGCATAAGGAACTTGTTAATTTGGAGAACCAAATCAAAGACTTAAAGGAACTTTTCATTCAGATATCTCTTTTAGTAGAGGAACAAGGAGAACACATCAACAATATCGAAATGATAATGAATGGCACAAAAGAATATGTTAACACCACTAAAGAGAAATTTGGACTGGCTGTCAAATACAAAAAGAGAAATCCTTGCAGGGCATTGTGCTGTTGGTGCTGTCCACACTGTAGACCAAAATAAAGAAATTATTTGAGAAATTTTTTCCAACTCAAAATGGAGAATGCCCCATCTGTCAGTATCCTGCATCACTTTTCTTCATTTCAAGGACCTATTCACGTATCTTTTGTCATGACGAAGTCATCATTTTCCCCCTTAGACTTAGAAAAATTTCTGAAGACAGTGACAAAGTCTTTGTTTATTAAACTATAAACATTATAATTAACCTAGAAAATCACAGGGTACCTCTTGAAAATGAGATGAATGATTTTGTTTTTGGTCAGGTAGCAACTTCTAGTACACTTTTAGAATTTCCAGGGCCTTACCAAAACGAAAGTCAGTAAGTGATAACCACTTAAGCAATCCCTTTATCTAATTTGAGAGTATTTGGGTAGTTAAGAGTTGAACAAAACAAGACTCTAGTATGATATTAAAGCAAAATCAAACTAGAGGCAAAATCAAACCTTTTATGCTCAAATAGGTCAGTTTACTCAACAAGTCCCAGAAATACCCAACTGTGTATCTGATGAAGAATCTAGTTGGTTAGTGTGAAGTGAATCTAGCTTAAGACCTTAAAAAGTAAGTTAGGGCACCGCTTTCTTGAAATAGGGTCCATTCAGGACACTATATAACAAATCAGGAGGTTGGCAGATAAAAAACAAAGGCAGTTGTATTCTCAAAAGTCTCCCCATCACTTTCTTGTGATGCCAAGCACTGTACTATTGGTTGGGATACAGTTTGAACTCACACAGGGATAGAATTTGCAACTCACATCCTAGTGGAAAAAGCAAATAACAAATACAAATAAAATATAATGTCACATTCTCAGCAGAGACTTAAAATAAGTAGGAAACAACCTGCTAGGGTTGTTTCTTACCAGTGGGTGGTCACTGAAAGTTTCGTTGACAGGTAATATTTAGGTGAAGAACTAAATGATAAAGACAAAGTTATATGCCAGGTATAGCAAACAATACATAGACCCTAAGATTCATGTAACTTATTCTATACAAAGAAAAATCAGCTATAAAGCTGTATCACAGCTTTACAAAAGAGCAATGAGGCAAGAGATGAATTAAGATTAGTGAAGTATTGATTTAAGATTTTGGAGTTTATGTAAGTCCTGAAGTTTACAGCAAGTGTAATCAATGCAAAACTCTCAGACTGTTTTTGGCCTCAGAATAATGTTATATAATTTATATATGAAAGCAGTCATTTTCTCTGTAGAATGCAGAGCAGATATGAATGGATTTAGGGGAGAAGAGCAGAGGGCAAGCGTACAAGTATAGAAAACAACTAGAAGGTGACTGCAGTGGTTTCAGTAAAATAGAATGGAAGCTTGGAGTAGAAGATGGGCATGATGGTGGTAGCAACAGGCTTAATACTCCAGGTCAGAAAATATTTGCTACACCCCATCACTGTTCTATAAGTTTTACAGTTTTTACTGGCAACAGCATTGATACAGCAAAGTTACTAGTCTGTCTCAGGTTGCAGAAACTGTACATAGAGAATAGAGATTTGAAGCCAGGCAGGCTGATTTCAGAACTAATATGTGACACACATGCTATATATGACACACATACACATACAGTATTATTTGAAAAAAATTAAGACTAAGCTATAATAAATTAAAATATGGAACCTACAGAAAACTGATTGGAAGACAATGCCATTTACAGAGATGAGAAAAAACAGAAATGTAGATTTCAGAATTGAAGATAGAAGGAAATTACAATGTTTATTTTGGTGTCTATAAAATAAATTTACATATGAAAATGTCCAAGTAGAGGCTTCTAAGCTATTAGCTATATCAGTAGAAGTAGGACTGGGAGGTATTAGAACTAAAAGTATAGATTTGGATCATCTTAGTGAATAAAAGATATTTAAAGTAGGTGACTTTTGGATGAGGTAGCCTGAGAAGTATGCAGATGTAAAAGGAGACAAAAGGAAGCCCTAGGCAAGGAAGTATGGAAGTGAATAAATAGTATAACTAAAGTTTGGTAAGAACATCTTGGTAAGGTTCCATTAATAAAAGAGAAATAAGCCAAATAAATGCAGTGAGTAGGGATTTCAGAGGGAAAAATGATATATTAGGGATACAGCACTATATTAATCAAATTATTAAATGGCGTACATAGTATATACTTAAATGTTTCAAGCAGTCCAGAATGACACAAGTTCTACTATTACTTAAGGGTCTGAATCAGTTAAAGTACTTTTAACAAATTCCAATGACAATATGAGAGTAATATATAACTACTTAACTTCTCGTGGATACTTTTAATTAATATATATATATATATATATATATATATGACTCAAAGAAACTTGCAACATTATCTTGAAATACTATAAAGGAAAAACCTAGTTTTTTTTTTTTCCTTCCTAAGTAGGGGGAAAAAACCCAACTCTTCCAAAATTATGTGTTTATTGCATCTTTATCATTAACACAAAACATTTTACTTTCACACACCAGTGTCTGGCTATTCTACACTTAAATCAATTCTGATACTATTTTCCTAGAGGTAGATAGAGCCCACAGGTAAGAGTTCAGTCTCACAAGACTAACACACACACACAGACACACACACATATGCAACTGTGGACGCCAGGCACAAGCCCAGATTATCACCTGTGCTTCTGACCAATCAGCTATATCGATCAGTTCCCACATTCTCTTCTAGGGTTCCATGAATTTGCTAGAATAGCTCAAAAGGTTCATTGAAACATGTTGATAAATTTATTATGAAAGGACACAGTTTCCAGCTGGAGGAGATGCACAGGCAAGGTAGAGGAAAGAGGTGCAGCACTTGCAAGGCTTCTCCTGGCACACCACTTTCCAGCACTTCCACAAGTTCACCAGCCTAATAGTGCTCAAAAGTCTAGATAACATTGGGAGTTCTATAGAAGTGTCATTATATAAACATAAATAGATATTTACTCCATTTTCAGCCCTTCACCTTAAAAAAAATTGATGCTAGGTAGGGCTGAAAATTCTAAGCTTCTAATCATGGTTTGGTCTTTTTGGTAACTGGCCCCCATTCAAAAGCTACCCAGAAGGCCAGTGTCCTCAGCAGAACAAAAAAATGCCCTGGCTCCCATAAACTATAAGGACTTCAGAAACTGTCAAGAATGGAGGTCAAAGACCAAATATTAGGACAACAACAAAACACTCCCAGTACTCTTATCACTTATTTACAAGGAGTTCTGTTTCAGGAATCAGGGACCGAGACATATATATATATATATATATATATGAATGTCCTATTATAAAACACAGTAACACTAGAAAGGTAAGTCAAGTAATTGTCTAGAAAGGTAAGTCAAGTAATTGTCTAGAAAGGTAAGTCAAGTAATTGTCTAGAAAGGTAAGTCAAGTAATTTATAAAAAAAAAGGTTGGAAACAACAAATACCATATTAAACAGTAGTAACAAAAGCCTGGTTACTGTTTCTCCTAATATGGAAAGTCACAGTTATAGTCCTTAACCTTTTTGGTCCTGAAATACTACTGGAATTTGATGAGAGCATTTGCTCCCAAGAAAATGCACATGTACTTGGAAATATGTGCGTGACTTCAGGGGGTCCTGGGTGGCCACCTGTAGTGCAGCCAAAAATTCTATTTTATTAAAATGTTCATAACAGCTACGAAAATTATACCAGGGATATTATGTTTTCACCCATGAGTAAAACTCCTCCATATATTTATCACTTTTGTCATGAAGCATCCAATTTGTGAGGTTTGGCCAAAAGTTAATAAGTTAAGTCATTAACTCCACAGAAAAGCAGACAGTATATAATGAGAAAATGGCACCCTTCCAAGAGCTCAATTGTGCTAACGCAAGTAGAATTGTTATTACCCTGGGAGGAAATCTTAGACTGTGGATGACCAGTAATTCTTGTTATAAGTATTAGGAAATTCAACTGTAAAAAGAAAGGGTAAATTACAATTGTAAGGCTAGATTAGAGAGGAAATATGGAAAATGCATTTGCCTTCTTAAAACCACCAATATAACTTTCAACTGCTGATGATATTCCTTAGGTATTCAACAAATAGTGCCTTATATTATTAATGGAAAATTTCTATGTTGAGCGGAAAATTGGGATTACTGCTGATCTCAGTGCTATTTATACAAGTACAAAATTTGTTACTTTTGACAACTCTCTAGTGAGAGTACATGTGGAAGGGGGTGATATCAGGGTAGGTAACAATTTACACCTTAGTTAGTCTGAGTATAGGCTGAACCCTAGAGCAGCTATAAGAGCAAATGAAAGTCTTTCTAGGGAAATAAACTATAGAACAGAATGTTTCTGTGACATCTAATATTACTCTTTAGAAAGAATACAAGTAACTTCTACCTTTTTACTTAACTGGATTTTGGTTCACATTATTACAGATAGCTAAGCACAAACACAGAATTACAGGTATTTTTATTATAGAAGAGATATTTAACCACTAAGTCCAAAGAAAAGTGACTGCCGGGGACACTTGTCATAACACGTGTTTTGTAAACTGAAAAACAGTAAAGATGTAGAGAGCTTAGTAGGTCAGATTGCCAGCAAAGAGAATGATTAGGAGACTTGTTTTCAGTAACAAAGGAAGAAGTGAAGAAGTGTTGAAAGAAGGTAAGATCTAGGGGGAAAGATATAAACGGTATTAAGATAGCAGACCTGATAAGAGACAACAAGTAACCAAAACTTCTAAATTTAAACTTAGATACCTGATATTTAAAAATGTATTTTAAAAAAATTATATGTGTGCTGCAAACATTACACATTTTAGAAAAACACACACAGGAAACTCATCAAAATCTTAGTAGTATGATAAAAGTCAATCATTCCTACATTTTCTATCTTTCTTAACAATGTGTACTTCATATTTTTATGCATATTTATTTCAAAAACCGGTCTAACTTTATCAATGACAATTCTATGGTTGTAAAATTCCCTTAAACACTGAACAAATGGCAAAACAATTTCCATAAACATAGTGAAATATTCATAATTAATTCTCATGTCTTTGTGAGATCTCACTATGTGATTGTAATAATGAAGCAATTACTCCAGTGAAGAATTTTTTCTTCTATTCAGGTAACTCAGTTGAGAAAGGTGACAGAACTAAAAGATAGCTTATTGACAATTATTTGATTACTCAGTAGAGTCACAGTAGTCACTTATGACCCTGCCTCAGAGCTTTTCCAAATATATCTACATGACTCTCTAACCTGAAAATGTCATTTTACGATGATAACCTTACAATGATAACCCTAGTTATAGAATAACTCATCTCTGTCACCACCAGCACCAGAGGCATCCTAAAGTTCTTTCACCTGTTTTTTTTTTCAATACACTTCTCACATAAATAAAACTAGAACTTTTTACATTTATTGCATATCTCACCTAAAAGTTCTAGAAAGTAAGCTTCTGAGATCAACATGCATCTTTATTGCTTTTGTTCTTAAATGTATCCCCATCATAAGGCCAATGTTTCCCACATAATGAATACTTAATAAATATTTGTTGAATTAATGTATGAATGATAAAGGAGCATGAAAAAATATATAGATGAGTATAAGGCTAAAAAAGGCACACACAATTATATCACCAATGAACACCACCCATTGATAGTACTTTACATTACAAGCCACTAACTAGTTCTCTCCTTAAATATCTGTAGAGACTAACTTCACCAATATAAGTCATTCTTTGTATATAGATCTAGATTTTTAAGGTTTATTTTATTTATTTATGCATATAAGAACTGGGGTGTAGATCAGAGATGCAGGGGTGAGAAGATTCACCAAAGACAGTAGGGAGTAGAAGAGGTAGATCTACTGAAATACACTACTGTTGAGGGGAGCAGCAGGAGAGACAGGAAAGGTCTGCTGCGCCAAGTAGGTCAGCTCCCTGGCCAGAGAGCAAACTCATGCTGCAGTTGCTGTAGATAGCTTGACAGCACTGAGGCTTTATCCCCTGCACTATGAGGGAGGCCCTCTGTATATATCGCCATTAAAGTTTTCCTTCAGAATCAATAGAGGTGAGAAATGATTATACAAATTAAAGTTTCTCTACTTGGTTAAATGTATAAACACTAAATAGTATAAGCTTTACCAATAAATCATGCACAACAAATTTTACTTTTTATAATCACAATGTCCACTTGCAGTATATACTAAGGATCACTGAGAGTAATGTTCATTAGTTACCAAGGACCACTAATAAATTCTGCTTACAATTTCTAATCTCATTATGTGATAGATTGGTTATTTTTCCTTAATAATGCATCACAAAAGCAACAGAAAAGGGACAAGGTGACAGCACACATCAGTTTACTCCAATGTTAAGAGCAATTTGTGTTCTACTTTACTATGTCTCATAGTTAGAGCACCACCTGGTGTTACAAAGCACAAATGCTATGAAGGCAGCCTGCAAAAAATTCCAGTTTAAAAAGAACATGTTTAGGCAATTAGGCAAGCTGATGTTAAGCATATGACTACACTGATAAGACTGACCTTATGTTCAATATGAAAACTGTAGAAATAGACTTGGTGAAATGAACGTGGCATAGAGAAACAGACCATTTAAAAAACTTTCAAATAGACTACTCTTCAAGTGAAAAAGAACAAAGGCAAAAAATCAGTGACTTATTAAATGAAAAAATGAAAAAGCATCCTAGCATATTGTCAATAAATCATTTTAAAATACAAACTTTGGTTAAAAAGTAAATTATTAAATAAAACAGAGTTTATATTTAAATGCCCGGAAATCTAATTGTAAGACTTCATAAAGTAGCCTCTCCACTTAATGCTACAGGCATTATGAAAAGGCCTCGGTATATTAACAGCTCCCAGTTAATTACATGCATTTTATTACTATGGAATGTAACAATTTAGGCCTAGTCAGTCTTTGTAATTTGGGTAAGTTTTCTCTTCAGCTCACGCTGCTGCTTCTATGCTCACAAGGACACCATCAGTACTTACACCAGTATAGGCTTGCCAGAAATCCGCGGATGTCTCAACACTTCTGACATTGTCTCTTTTGTCTCCTCCATTCTCTCTTCGTCACTAGAATCCACGACAAATATAACTCCGTAGGATTCAGCATAGTAATTCTTCCAGATTCCTCGAATTCTTTTTCCACCTCCCAAATCAAAGATGGTAACTTCAAACTTTCCTTGTCTAAGGTCGATTTTGGAAAACCCAACAGTAGGAGCTACATCTTCAGGGTGCTCTGTTTCAAATGATATAAAAGGTCAAGAATTTAAGTTACTATTAAATTTTACAGCTTGAATGACAAAAAAAAAAAAAAGAAATTCATTCATCATATGTAAGTGCTAAAGAGAATGCTTACTATTATATTACATCTACATATACTGGTTTGAGGGGAGGGGAGATACTATAAAATATCCAATTAGAGCTTATATTTCACAAATATCTGGGGGTTTGTCTGTTTTTACTGCTATAATAAAATAATACCTATCATACCATAGATATTTAGTAAATATCTGTAAAAGGAAAAATGAGTGAACTTTTGCCCTTAGGTTATTTATTCTCCAAATTATAAACAATAAAAAAAGTCAATCCTTCAACAATGCAGATATCCGTAGGAACTGCTAATCAACTTTATAACTATTACAAAGAAAAACTTGGAACATTTAAAGAATAGGAGAGTTTAGAAGAATCAAAAATGGGAGATGCTACAAGGTGTAGGATACTTAGCTAAATTAAAGCTACAGTTGCAATGAAGAGACTTTTGAAAGTAGTTCACAAACATTAAGACTTTATTTTATTATTTATACAGGGAGAAGTTGCAGATCTTTCAGTGAATATGTAATTGCTTTTTTTTTTCTCTACTTCTGTATATGAAAATACAAAAAGACACAGGATACATTCCTATACCTCTTCCTACCCAGTCCACATGCCCATGTAGCCTGAGCCACTGTAGCCCACACAGGTCAGGGAAACCACAGGGATGGCAAAGCAAATGGGTAGGAAGCTGAGTCCCTAACACCATGGAGCTGTTATGAGAGCCATAAACTACCTTTTGCCTGTGTTGTTTTGAGAAATAAACTTCTATTCTGCCAATGTACTATTATTTAAATTTCTGCTAGAGCAAATGAACCTTTATCCACTGATGCAATCATTTGGATAGCTATAAAGAAGAGAAGTTGATTGAAAGAAGTGAAATTCACAGTAAGAAAACTATTCATAGATTAGGAAGCTAAAATAACATTGCAATTTGTATTTGGACAATGGTAATCAATACATTTAGAGGGCAGAGAGACATGTCTCCAAAAAAAGCAAATGCCAAGTAAGGGATAGGGGGTGAGGAAGACAGAAAAAGAGAAATAGAGATAAGGACAGAGACAGAGACAGAGACAGAGATGAGATGAGATGAGATGAGATGAGATGAGATGAGATGAGATGAGATGAGATGAGATGAGATGAGATGAGATGAGATGAGATGAGATGAGATGAGAGACAGAAAGAGAGAGAGAGAGAGAGGTACAGAAATAAGCTGAAGAATAGAAGCCAAGGAATAAATGTTTTCAGAAGGATGTATAAGGTGTGGTATGAATTGAGACCATCAAATTGACTACTACTCAGTTCCATTCCTAAAGGACTACAAAAGGACCAGAAAAGTAGAAAGTAAATGGCAATTAAAAATTACAGAAGTAAGGGTCCTCTCTAGGGGAGCAGTGGGTTAAAACACAGCACTGTGAAGCTAGCCTCAGCCACTTCAGTGTGAGTTTGATCCCTGGCCAGGGAGGTAACCCACATGGCGTGGCAGATCTCTCCTGACCTGACCACTACTACCCTCTACAGTGCACTTCGCCAATCTGCCTGTTCTGCTCCCCACTCTGCCTTTGATGGATCTTCTAACCACCCCTGCACCTCCAGCCTGTACCCCAGTTCTGTATGCATAAATAAATCTTTTTAAAAAATGAAATTATACAAGTAAATATAAGAGTAGTCCAAACAGAGTACACAGTCAATTCTGATGGTGATACAAGTGATGGGTAAGGGCAATATTTCATAAAGACTATGTAACAAAAATATTGTTAAAGATAAATATTCATTATCTCTAGTAAGTTAAGTGGTAACACTATAAAGAAAAATACAAAAGCATGAAAAAGACATTCTATAGTTTTATACCAGTGAAACTAAAAAAAAGAAATTAAGGTACAAAATCAATCATAGGAGGAAGCTGAAGAATAAATACATGATAAAGAACAAAAACAAAACCAGAGAGTGCTAAAAGTTGAAGGCAGCTTTGACTTTTTATTTTGATGTGATATACCTTAAAAGTTGTCTGGAAGCCCTCACTGGTGGTGCAGCGGGTTAAAGCACTGCACTAAGAAGCTTGATCCC